ATCTTAATTGTTAATAATCTGTCGTATTGTAATATCAGATGGCACTTTCGGCGGTACGGGGCCCTCAGTTGGGACAATGGCTGGCAGAATTGGGAACGTCTACGAATCAGGAGGACCACGTTGTATTTGATCTCGTGAAAGAATTTTTACAGAACGCTGGTCAAAGTCAGATGATTCTTCAATGCGAACAATCGGAAAACGAACTAACTCAATTGGCCACACAGCAATCTATTTTAATACGAAGTTGTTTGGATCTTTTGAGTCAGTACTCGGCAATTTGTAGCCTTTATCCGTTGAGTAACATGTCGCAACATCGTACAGTGCGTTATCACGGTTGGGCTAATCAGCTGTTGAGTTCTGGAAGCGTCGAGGCATGCTGCGATGTCATGGCACAGTTTGAAAATACTTTCGATCCGATAAACAGTTCGAACAATCAGCAAGTACAACAGATAATAACGTTTTCGTATCAGATGCAAGCGATTCTGAACGAAGCAAACGAAAGATTGAAAAAGGCCTACGAGCGAATGGTCTCGGAGGGTTTACCAGATTCGATTGGTAGAATAGAGAAGGCGTACTCAGAATCAAGATTGCAGATTCAGAACTTCTTAAGAAGGGAAAAGGGAGCGGAAAGAGCACTGGAGTGCGTTAACATAACTGCTTTGTGCGCTCTGAATAAAAGGTACCTGATGATGGAAGGTGCTGCCAAGTGCGCTGGGGATTGTTTAGTCGATCTCACGTCCAGAGAAGGAGATTGGTTCTTAGACGAAATGCGTTTAATGTCCTCGTTAATTGCTGAATTGGTCAGCTTGATCCCGGATTGTCATAAAACTAACAACGATCCCAAGATATCTCTTATATTAAAATGTTTAAGAGGGTCCGACTGTATATACAAAGGATTGCAAGAGTTGAATTACAATTTCCACACGATCATTCTACCCGAAGCAATGAAGACTATCATAACAGAGGAGCCGACAGTGATCAGAATGATCGGCGAACTGACCGAGATAATCGTATCGCCTGGAATACCCCTGGGGGACATCTTAGGGCAACTGGAAATGCATTTAAGATTCACCGTCATGGAGATGGAAAGTCCTCACGCGGTAATTCAGAGCATAGTAAATACCATGAGATTGCGATTCGAGGCTTTATTGTCTCGGCCTGCCGAGATTCAGGAACCAAATCAAGACGAGACTTTAACACCTGGCCAGATGCTTCTGATGGGTTTCAATGGGTTATTCGAGAAACTTCAGATGGAAGGTAACGCGTTGATCGCTACTTTAAGCACCCTCGATATTCCACCTTCCTGGCGTAAGATCGATCAAATTCGAGAAGCGAAAGAAATGTCCGCGCCGATATTCAATAAAACAGCTTGTCAGGTTCTGGAAGACATGTTCCTTGTCAAAAGATTGCATACTATACAAGAGTTTTTCATGATGTGCAGAGACATAGCGACCGCTTTCAAAGGCGGTTTAGCGAACGTTTACGACGACGAACGACTGAATAAACCGATAAGAATATTTACAGCCGATTATGTGTCCAGACAGTTGCTCGGTGTTACCTCTCAAACGTTGGCCATCGGTCTTTGCTTCTTACTGCAAAGAATGGGGCTAAGCGTTACCACCGAGATCGAACAGAGGGATATCGGGGCCGAGAGTAAAGTATCTATAGAGGAATTGTGCAGGAAAGTGGTTGATCTTTGCATGAAGAGAGGCCTTTTCTCGGGATCCGTTTTGGCACAAGCGAGTGCTCTTAGTAGTACTCTTGAAAGCGCTTGGCGAAGAAAACAGAGCGCCAGATTCGCGCAACAATGCGTCGAGGTAACAAGAGCTAGTATGCAAAGACTTCAGTTGCAGCTAACTGCTCACCATTGGTTGCACGAGGACAGTTTACTAATCAGGTCGAACGTTAATTTAATGAATCCTTTGAGTAAGTACTTCTTGTCCTAATTCATTCTTTAAGACAGTCTAAACATTCTTCTCTGATTTACGTCTTTTTTACTATTTCAGATCGCTCTGCGTTTATGCTGGAATTACGAAAAACCGCCGCAGCGTTGACTGGTTTACAATCTCGAGTATGCGAAGCGCGTGAACAGCAACAGAATCTTGTTTCTAGCGCGGTGCAGCGATTAAAATGGGCTGCCGGAGCTAATCCAGCACTCGGTGAGGTGATGTCCGCGTTCGATAACGCCGTGCTCGCCTCCTGCGAGAAATTAACCCGGCAACACAATCTCGCGACCAGCGTGATCAGTACTTGTAACTCGATACTGCACTACGAGGCTTTGCGAACCAGAACTTCCGAAAGCGTGACCCACGATACTAATTTCGTTAAGCTGGTCAAGCATTGGGAAGAAAGTTGTATTTTGACAATTAATCTGAACATTACTGTAACCGCGATCGAGGAGAGTCTGGTAGAATTGTTACAGATGGAAAGCAACGTCGACATGAATTGGTTAAAGCAAGCAGAACGATTCATTTCCGAGGCGATACTAGATGTACAGAAGAAGCTGCAAGAGAAACAGGAAGGTTTGCTTGCAGCGCAGGAACATTTAAGGGAACGTGTGTTGAATCTGCAAAGGGTGTTGACCGAACATCATAGGCTGATGTCAGACGTTCGAATTTTATTGCGTTCTATGGTGAAGCAAGAGAACATTGAAGGTTTGCAAGAATTTCTCTCTTCCTATAGATCTTTCACCGAAAGCATATCGGCGATCGTGAAGGAACTCGAATCCGATATCCTCGACGTGAACCGAGGTAGAATAATTAAACAAGACTTGGAGAACATGGCAACTACGGTGCCGAATCTCTACAATGAACTATTAGAGTTTGCTAATGAGAGGAAAATGAATTCAGTGAAGATGCTTGAGAAACAAAAAGAGACTGAGAAAGAGAAAGAAAGAGAAGGAGAAAGGGAGAATGAAATAGAGGCTTCGAACATCGGTTTGATGAAGAAGAAAGGGAAGTTAATGAGGCAAGAGGGTGTGTGTTACAGCCCTAGAAAGGGAGTTCCATTGGCTCGAGATCCAACCACAGGGAAAGGTAAATTTAATTTTTTTATAGACTGATTTTATATTTTACTTTTTTATTATTTTATCTTTAATGTTTCCCTTTGTAGCTGTCCAAGAGCGAAACGCTTACGCCCTTAACGTATGGCATCGCGTACGAATGAAATTAGAAGGATGCGATCCACATCCGAATCGTAAATACACGACAGCTGAACAGGTGGAATACGTTATACGTGAAGCTCAGAGTACCGACAATTTAGCCCTTTTGTACGAGGGTTGGACGCCATGGGTCTGAACGAAAGCAGATCGACGCAGTCGCGTCGATGGTTCAATGCTCGTTACACACGGTACTCGAGTCCGTACCGTTCTTCGCTCTACGCTCGACGGAGCCAGCTCTCTGTCCAACCAGGTGTGAAGTACATCTTCGTATCACCTGGAAGAGAAAGTCTGTGTCCGCAAAGATGCCGCGTGAAGTTCGGCAGCGCGCACTTGCATTCAGGGAAATCCTTACGCGATCCGTGATCCGCGATCGAACTTCGATTTTGGCACCGATTCTATGATTATCTCAAAAATCTCTCGTTAAATGTTACGTACCGTACATACTATCTAATGATATTTCTTTTATTTAATTATTCTTCAGCTACGAAATCTTAATCGAAACAACTTGTACCTGAAATTATTGATCAGATTGTCGATGGAAAAAAATATAATATAGAAATAACTTTGGGAGGAAGAATACATCGATGCTGGTATGTTTAAACGATTACGATAGATTTGAGAAAAGCATAGAATCTGCCATATCTTTGGGATAACGAGGCAACGACTGGAAGTTTAGGCAGCGATGCGGAGAAGCTCGACGATCAATGCGTCGATGGTGGCACTCGAAACTTTAACGAGAACATCGGTGGTGACACGTTAACTGCCACGGACATTCATTCATTCATTCGAAGAAACGGCCCTTCTCTTGACAATTTATATATCATTTCTCTAATATTTTAGCCAATGTATCGGTCGGTCGGTCGAATTTTATTGCCGTTCGCTTTACGTTTATAGATTTCTTTGCAATGATTCAAAGCGGGACCAAGAATGACGACGTTATTACCAAATTACTACAACGTAACCAAGGTTCGTTATGATATATTTTATGTATTCGTATTCACGATTTGATGATTTCTAAATCATTGCGATCAACATTTTTGTATTCCTTCTTTTTCATTGCCATTTCTTAAATGATAGGACGATGCTTTTTCAATCAATCGACAATTTAAACACTGCTTTACAACAAATACTGATTTTTATATTTACAGGAGTAAATTCGTCAAAATTATTTTTCATTTTATATTTAACAATGATTTTATCGGAAAAAAAATACTTTAACAACGGTTGTAATAATCGATCACCGATCTACAATAGCCCAAAATAGTGAGAACATCGAAAAAAAAATGATAGCGCTGCAAATACCCTACAGAAATTTGTTCCTTTTTGTATTTAAAAAAAAAAAAAAAAAAAAAAAATGTACGATGATCAAAACGAATACTTGATCATCGATTTTCTCTTTTTATTTGTGAGGGAAAAGGGGAGGGAGAGAAGGTCGCAGTTTATAATTAATAAAGTTTATGGTATATATAAAACTATGAAGAAAGATGTATTCCCTTCGGTTTAATTACACTTCTGAGAAGCATTCTTGTCTGCGATTCATTTACCGTATACCTCTTTTCAATGCAATGCTAATTCTTTCCTTTTTAATCAGAATTCTTCGAACATTTTTCTACTACTTCATTGAGAAACATTTTTTTTTTAATTGTATATCATAAAAAGTTTGTATTTAAAGTCCTTCCCCTCTTTCTCGCATTTCAATCGCTACTCTGAAAGGATCATACTCATAACAGGTACATAAAATAAAACTCTCAGTAAACGAACAAATGTAATTTTTTAATAAATCACATTGTACAATTCTATATTACAATATCGAAAATTTTATATTACACTTTGTATCACGTTGCTTATCTTATTCTACTAGTATACAGTATACGTGTATACACGTGTCCAAGCACAAAGATTGATTCCAAAAACCGTTCATCTAAGAACCGTCCACCCTGTTATGATAGTGCTGAATTGCAATGCAAAACTTTGCATTACATACTTTGCAATTTTACAGAAAATTATGTGTTAAAACGTAAACTTATCGAATACAATTATAAGCCCAAATTTCTCAAAAGTATTCCACATGGAACACGCAAACAGCGAACAAAATTTCATTTCCTTTCACTGAATCTTAACCCTTAATCTTACATAATTTACATAATTTGCCATCAGTCTCTCCAATTTACGGTCTTTTACCTTGTTTAAATAAGTCTCGGCAATTTCATTGCGACAGAATGGTACACCTATCTTCATCGTACCTACAGCTTCTTAAACTGCTGATATCATTACGATCCTAACTTGCCTATTGTATTTGATCAATCAATAAATTTAATCCAGAAGAATTTCAAGTATCTCGTTTTAAAAGCTGATCGATCTGTGTTTTATACATCTCTTTGATATCTTCAAGGTCCAAACGTAGTTCTTGGTTCTCCTCCATCTTTTCTCCGTACATTTGTAACAATGCATCGTATCTTGTCTGTATATCGTGTAAACTTTCGTTCAAAACCGTAACATCCATAACTTTAGCATTCAATTCTTCGATCTTTAACGTTAACGTAGATAATTCCGTATTCAACGCATCTCTTTCTACGTTACGTCGTGATAATTCCCATTGAAGTTGTTGTATTTCACCTACAAATTCAAACGTTAAGTCGAATCAAAGGTAAACATATAGTTTGTTATTAACAAATACTTGAGACGTACCATCTTTCTGTTTCAACTGAGCTTGTAAGTTTTCAAATATAGAAGTATTACCGGCTCCTGTTCTGATATTATCGAAAGTCATCGTGTATGCTTCGCTACTGTCTTCCGTAATAGAGTTGCGCAACTAAGAAAATAAAATTTATATTTATAATCTTGCAATTTAAATTTTATCGTAAAAAAGAGTTAGTTGGTCGTAAATATTACCGGCCAAATACTGTCTATAACATCCACAGGATCTTCTTCCGTGCTACTATTAGGACCAAATGATTCGTTGTCTTCGATATTTTGTCGTTGCTCCAACATCGCATGATTTTTTCTCCTTTCTGCATCTGCAGCTGCTTTCTCTACGGCTAATTTATTTTCTAACGCGACAATTTCTCTGTTTAACTCGCTTATTTCAGACGAATGAGACTGTTCGAGTGTCTCTATCGTTTGCTGGTGCCTGAGAATAAGATTTTATCATTTTAATTTTGCTGTGAAAACAAACTACAAACTATACTAATCTTTCTTACCTCAGATTTTGTTCAGTTAACTTCTCCTTTTGAGTCATCAATTCGTCGTATTGTTCTTGCAGTTGTGTTTTTTCATTTTCTTTGACAGCGAGTTTTGATTCTAATTGCGATATTTTAGATTTTAAATTAACATTTTCTTCTTTAAGATAACGATCAGTTTCCATCAAATTCTCAATCTTTGTTTGTAATTCAATATTTTTGTCCGATAATGCTTTCTCTTGTTTCATAAAACTGTTGGTTTTATGTAATAAGTTTGCTTGAAGCTGTTCCAGTTGTCTTAACAATGGTTTCGTGGCCATCGATACAGATTCTGATAGTTCTTCGCTCCTAGCTTCGGCAGCTTCTAAGCGTTTTAATAACTCACTGTTTTCATGCTTAAGAAACTCTTCTTTTCTATACGTAGAATAAGATAAAAAATTAATAATGTTAGAGATTATTAAAAATTACTTGTACCGACTTACTTGACATGCATTTCCTCAGATTCTCGTAATTTAATCTTTAGTTCTTCTATCTGCGCAAGAAGTTGACACGTTTCCCCAGCACTATTTGCTACTTCCTTTAATTCCGTTTCCGTCGCTGTTAAAATTTTCTTCGTTTCATTTAACTCTCTGAAAAATGAAGTTGGATGGAAAATAAAAGGGATGCGAAGAAATGAAGAAAAGTAAATCGCTTTACTAACATTTTTGCAGCGTCCAAACTTGTCTTATATGCATCCATCTTATGCAAAGTACTGTCTAATTTTTCCTGCAGTGTTAATATCTCCTTTTCTTGTTTCTTCGTTTTTGCCGTCAAAGTATGAACAGCTTCTATTTGAGACCGTTCAACTTCTTCTTTAGCGTGCAATGATCTTTTTAAGCGTTCTAGTTCTGAGCTCTGTTCTTCTATTTGCTCTCTGCAATTGTTATGCTTAATTAGAGACTACTAATTTATTTGTTCATTTAGATATTTAGAATAAGAAGAAGGTTAAACAAAGAAGAAATCAATGCTACTTACGTACTTTTGACTTTTGATCAAAGCATCGTTTTCTTTTTCTTTAACTCGCAATTTTTTAATGATATTACTATGCTGAAGTTGTTGTTTGCTTAATTTCTCTCCTTCTTCTCGAAGTTCTTTAATAATTTCGTCTTTTTCGGCACTCAAAGTAAACATTTCTTGGGAGGACAAACGGGTAGCCGCTTCCACTTTTAACTGTTCCAAATTTTTCCTCAACGAGTCTCGTTCTCGTATCGCTTGCTGAAATTTTCTTTCTAAAGCGGATAATCGTTGCGTATATTCATCTGTGATTTGGTTTAAATTTTGACTTTGTTCCGCGTGCTTCTCAAAATTATCGAGTTGCCTGTAAAAAAAGTAAAGAACAATGTAGCAAACTATAATTTGTCAAGAAGTGAAAAACAGTTTATGCATATATTACACAAAATTTACTTCTTTAAATTATTATTTTGCTCTTGCAATTCGACGTTCATTCTGCTAACGTCGATGAGCTTCGATTCTCTCGCTTCTAATATCTCTGTCATTTCTTGTATACGTTTCAATAATTTTTCTATCTCAACATTTGCCTCGTCGGATCCAACACTAATTTCGCTTAATTCCCTGGAATGTCCTCTGGTTTTTAAGGTCTTCGTCAGGAGATCACCGCCCTTTGTTAATTTTGCCAAGCTCTGACGAGACTGCGTCGAACTTGAATCCCCGTTTGGACTTTTCTCAACAAGAAAACATTTGTCATTAAGCTCGATGTACATAATACAAAATACACTCATGAATTATAAAATACACGTGATGTGCATACATACAAACGCTATTAAATTATAACCGTACCTATACCTGGATATAATTTCAATATCGCTGGACGTTGTGGTTTCTAATTCGTCCCCGCTAGTATGCCCGCTAGTTTGATCCGAACCAATTTTAACTAAATCAGAACGACTGCAAATAAACGATATGAAATTTATGTTATTTATATTATTACACAACCGATGATACCATGTATCTTATTTATACCTTTCCGATGAAATCGGTGAATTTTCTCGAGGCATATCCACACTTTGTGCTTCTGTCTCAATAATTTCTCCCTTTTCGATCATCGCATCTGCTAACATTGTTTTAACATAGGAACTAGCGCTTAGGGGTACTTCTAAAATCTTTTCCTCTGATTTATGCATTAACTGCGGGTTCTCTTCTGAACTACTCTCTATCAAAGTTCCTTCGCAACTTGAATCCGTTGACATCAGGTGCTGATCAGTAAGCTCCAGTGTATCAGACTTAAACGGATGCGTTCCTTCATCGGTAGAATACCGATCAGGTTCTGCTGGTTCTATAGTAGCGTTTATCAATCGGTCGAAGCTGCTCAGATCACTTTCTGATTTTTTATTATTTCCATCAAAGTATTCTGGTTTACGAATAGGTTGCGTGGTAATTGCTTCGATCGGCAAATGTAAATTATGTTTCTCACTTAACGAGTCTAAGCTCAGATTCAAAGAGCCATCGATGCTTCCTCTTTTCAAAATCTGCTTACCATCTGAACATAAATCATGCATTTGTCCGTTCATAGGCATTTCTATTTTACTCTTGACTTGCTCTTTATGTTGAAACGATTCCAACATCGTCACGACGGTACTCTCTGAAGCCGAAGTATAGGAATCTTCTGCTAAACTGACTTCATCTGGCTCGTGTGTGTCTACGTTTTCTGATGAAGTTTCTGTTGCATGTCCAGTAGATACAATTTTGTTAGGGTAAGGTATCACTTCTGGATACGTTCTCATTGATGGTGCGCTGTCTATAGTGTCTGCGTCCAAATTATTATGCGGTGTTTTTACTTCTTCCATGGGAGATTCGTAGGGGGAAACATCGGAAGATGATGGATTCGCCTGATTCTCCTTGTTTACACTCTGTGCAACGTTAATATCTTCCCAACAAGGAGTTACTGAATCGTCCCTTTCTAATTCGCATGGGGATCCAGAATTTCTCGGTTCTACCGGTGATATGTATGAACTGTTATCGCTTTTCCAGTCTCCTAAAATTTCTACCGAACTCGGAGATGTTACTAAACTGTCTGGTAATACTTCGACCGATTCAGAATTTACTTTAGTACCCGCAGTCGAAGGACTTGCTAAATTACTAAGGGAACTACCCTCTGACTCAGGAGTAGTGGTACAATCGGTATTGGAATGAGAACCAAGAATCTCAACGCTTTCAAGGCTTTTTTTATCGCTTCCGGGAGATAAAAAAGACAATTTGTTAGAAGCAGAACTTTCGGAATTTGAATTCTGCTCAGTAATTTCCTTCTTTTCACATTCTGACTTCTCATCTTGATTGTCTTTAAAAGCTGTGTCTTTTTCATCTAAGCAAGATTCAATTACATTAGCTGATCCTTCTGTAGTACTTGTTGAACACTCTTCAAGTTCTTCATTGTTGTTGGAAGGTGTGTCTGCTGTATTAATGGTACTAGCTGGAATTAGTTGCATTGAAGCACTAGAAGTGGATACACCTGCAATGTCTTGCCTAGGAAGATTGTGAATTTTGTCATCACTGATTTTCTCCTTGACATCTTTTATACCTTTAGCATTTTTGAATGGACTTGATTTTTTACTTTTATAGTCTTCTGAAAAGGATGAAGAGGATACAAGTTTTTGTGTCTTTGTTTTCTGACTTTCAGTTGGTGTAGTTTGCAAAGACTTTGAATGACCTTTTGCATTATATTCCCCTTCGGTAAATTTTGGTGATTCAAAAAATGATCCGGTAAAACTACCCCATATACTGTTCGCAGTTTCTTGTTTAGCATCTTTGTTTTTATCATGGTGAGGGACATCTTCCTCTTTCTTCAATCCCCAGGATGCAAAGAAGTCAGATGTATCTTCCTTTTGATTCTCTATAGGTTTCTGATCTTCATCTTTGATATCTAATGCTTTATCAATTGTTTTCTGAGCTTCCTTTAAAGCTGTCATAGCCAAATTGGCAAACCCTGTAGCATCAAACCAGCTCATTCTTTACTGAATGTAATACTGAAATGAGAATAAATATTAACCAAAGTTATTACCTTTAAATATCCAACAAAATTTTAGTTTTTATTAATATTTCCTCAAATGTTTGATACATGAATTAATGTCATGAAGATAACTTACGTTGTATGGCATCGTCGAAGCCGAATAAAAAATTGATTCCCCAAAGGAAGGGGTTACGTGACGTTTCCAGAGGTTAAGTCACCTGTGATGACGTTTATAAATTACAGATTTCTTTTAAACGATCTTCATGGAACTATGGATCCACAGAATGATTGCGAAAAACTATTGGAAAAAGAAATTGAATACAGTAAGTAAGACACAATAAGACAAGCAACCAGTGGTTGTATTTTTGAGTAAGGAATTTACAACTACCACAATAAAGCGAACTAAAAATAGTACAACTATTTTGTAACTTTACTTTTCATCGATATCAGGTTCATCTCCAATTAAATAAAGTTATTAACTTCAAGAGAATAACAAAGTTTGTACAGGTAAAACATATTTAATTGTTGACAATGACAGCAGTGACTACAGATGTAAAAGACTGGACATGCCTTGGTTTTCGAGACACCTCCAGATGAGATTAGATCTGCATGCAGAGAGCACAGCCAGTATGATAATCGTGCATGTTTTATCAGCCTCTCATTTTACTATACCTTGCACTAACAACTGAAAAGACACAATTTGGACTCCCTTTGATTCTATTTTTTAACAAGTCAGACAAGATCAGCCCAAGACCGAAAAATTATTAGAATAATTATTTGACAAACTTATATTTTAAAAAGACCGCCTAGAACTAATTTTAAAGTTCGACCACTGCGCCATCTATACAAAAGCGGCGGAAACTACTCAATAAATTACCGACTTATCGACTGAACTTCCGACAGCCGGTAATCGACCCTACGGCAGTCGGTAAGTTAACGAATAGTTTTCGCCGCTTTTATATAGATGGCGCAATAGCCGATGGCTAGGGTTATTAGGGACCCGGAAGCACCGGTGATGCTCTTTGCATATCGACATTATACCCCCTGTGGCTCGGGGGCCTTAGAATACAGCCACGGTATCCCCTGCCTGTCGTAAGAGGCGACTAAAAGGGGTCCCAAATACACGCTCACACACGCACATACACACACTCAAGCGAGAGATAGTAAAAGTATGGCGAAAAGACAGAATGTAAAAGTATGGCAAATGTATGGAAAAATGTAAAGTGCGAAAAAGAATGAGTTTTGCGCAATGCGCGCGTGGACGCTAATTTTCGGTGAGCACACGAGGGTACCAGAGACCCCGATGCAACGGTGGCGTTCTGCATACCGACAATTATATCAGGGGGTGTTAAGGACCCCGTTGTCTCTTTTCGCGCGCCGACCTATCATCATGGGGTGTCGGGGACCCCGATGACTCTTTCTGCGCACCGACAAAATATCATCTTGGGGTGTCAGGGACCCCGTTGATACTCCCCGGAGGCCAACATAAAATCATCCTGGGGTTTCAGGAACCCCTGTGACTCTCTGCGCAACGACGAAATATCATCAAGGGGTGTCAGGGACCACGTTGATTATCTCCACGCGCCGACCTATAATCATCGTGGGGTTTCAGGAACCACGGTGATTCTCTGCGCACCGATAAATTAACCTGCATGAAGCTAGCCAGAAGGAATAATAAAATATGATTATTTTTAATTTTTATTAGTCTATTTCGTTTGTAAATTGTTTGTGATTGATTGTGAATCTAGTTTTAAGGTTTGTGACAAATTAGTTGTTTTGTAATTAGCAATTTTATTTCAATCATGATGTGAGCCGAGACTTTTTACTAATTTTTTGTAATAAACAGATTTTGCAATAACTGATAACTGTAATTGATTGGAAATCGTTTGTGATTTACAAATAAATCATTTTCATTGTTTGTGAGTCAGTGAATTTCTTAATTATTTACGAGTTTGTTTTATATTAAATAATTGTAGCTACAGATCCGGTCGTACCCATCACTACCTCGAACAAGTGAGTTGCACGATTTGTTCGTTTTTAGGTCTTATATTTCGCTAGATCCGGTCGTACCCATCACTACCTCGAACAAGTGAGTTGCACGATTTGTTCGTTTTTAGGTCTTATATTTCGCTAGATCCGGTCATACCCATCACTATTCCGAACAAGTGAGTTTCACGATTTGTTCGTTTTTAGGTCTTATATTTCGCTAGATCCGGTCATACCCATCACTATTCCGAACAAGAGAGTTTCACGATTTGTTCGTTTTTAGGTCTTATATTTCGCTAGTTGCTTGGGGTCCTTGAAACCCCAAGTAACAATATCAGGCACTCCGAATGCAGTAGGTTCGGTAAGCAAAGAGTACCATCGGTGCTTCGGGGTCCCTGAGACCCCGGATGGTATAATATTGGTATGCAAGGATACTCACCGGTGTTTCGGGTTCCTTAAGACCCCAATATGATATCAAGGCGGTACGTATAGACGGTGACTGGTTCTTTGGGGTCCTTAGCACCCCGGATGGTATAATTTAGGTATGCAGAGATACTCACCGATATTTCGGGTTCCTTAAGACCCCAAATTTGATATCAGGGCGGTATGTAGAGATGGTGACTGGTGCTATGGGGTCCTTAGCACCCCGAATGGTATAATATACGTATGCAGAGATACTGACCGGTATTTCGGGTTCCTTAAGACCCCAATATGATATCAGGGCGGTACGTAGAGATGGTGACTGGTGCTTTGGGGTCCTTAGCACCCCGGATGGCATAATATAGGTATGCAGAGATACTGACCGGTATTTCGGGTTCCTTAAGACCCCAATTTGATATCAGGGCGGTACGTAGAGATTGTGACTGGTGCTTTGGGGTCCTTAGCACCCCGGATGGTATAATATAGGTATTCAGAGATGCTCACCGGTGTTTCGGGTTCCTTAAGACCCCAATATGATATCAGGGCGGTACGCAAAGGGCGTTATTGGCGCAGCGGAGTCCCTAACAGCCCAGGATGAAATCAGGACCGTATGAAGAGGGCACAACCAGTATAATAATTGTCATTTAATATTTTCCAGAGTTTATTTAATTTATTTCTTTTATTTTTTTTCGCTTATTAAATAAGCTCATCGAAGGGGAATAACATTTATGATTATATCCCTCTTCTACGTCTTAACCGAGGACCCCATTTATTTTCTTTTTTCTAGTTATTTATATAATTTTACCCCCCATTATAGGCCAAGGCCATCTTTGCATCCCTTACATCCCTGCATACCTGAGATTCCAGCAAACCCTTAAACCCCCATTTTTTTTTTTTTTTTTTTTTTAACGTGGTGGAAATCTTCAGAAAGACACCTTCAGCCCCCCCTTCGGGGCCGAAGGTAGTGTGGGATTTTTACCCACTAAAACCACCACGGTGGCCTGCACTAGGGCGGAAGGGAGGGTCCTTTGACCCTTCGCCATGTGCCAAACTCCGCCGACATCGGAGGCCACACACGACGCCGGCACTCGTCGGGCCGCGTGCAGCGGAGACCGGGGCCCCAGCCCCGCACCCCTACGGCATTCCTTTACATTCCTACATTCCTTTCATCCCTACATTCGTTACATCGCTTTATCTCTTACATGCCTACATTCTTTTCATCCCTACATTCCTTACAGCGCTTCATCCCTTACATCCCTACATTGTTTTCATCCCTACATTCTTTACATTGCTTCATCCCTTATATCCCTACAGTCTTTTCATCCCTACATTCATTACATCGCTTCATCACTTACATCCCTATATTCTTTACATTGCTTCATCAGTTACATTCCTACATTCTTTTCATCCCTACATTCCTTACATCTCTGCATCGCTTATAATAAATATATTTTAAAGACTGCTTCGTGTAAAGGCAAGTAAAGGTAAGTAAAGGTAAGTAAAGGTAAGTTAATTCCTTTTTTCGCGAAAATTTCGAAAAACAGCGCCCCCTAGCGGCAAAAATGTTAACTAAAATTTCGATGTCGAATCAGCGCCATCTGGTTTCAAAAAAAGGAACTAAACCAGACTCAATTTTTGGCCCTCTGGCGGCAAAAATGCGAACTAAAATTTCGATGTCGAATCAGCGCCATCTGGTTTCAAAAAAAGGAACTAAAGCTTGCTAAAATTTTGGCCCTCTAGCGGGAAAGATGTGAACTAAATTTTCGACGTGGAATCAGCGCCATCTGGTTTCAAAAAAAGGAACTAAAGCACTCTCAATTTTGGCCCTCTGGCGGCAAAAATGTGTACTAAAATTTCGATGTCGAATCAGCGCCATCTGGTGGCGAAAAAAGGAGCTAAATTTGTATAAAATTGCAGGCCTTATAGCCGCAAAAATTTCAACTCAATTTCAGAGAGGTATAGGCATGTAAGGGATGCAGCGATGTAAGGGATGTTGGGATATAAAGAAGGCAGGAATGTGAGGAATGCAGGAATGTAAGGGATGCAGAAATGTATGGGATAAAGAGATGTAAGGAATGTAGGGATATAAGGAATGTAGGGATGGAAAGAATGTAGCAATGAAGAGAATGTAGGTATGAAAAGATTGTAGGGATGAAAGGAATGTAGGGATGGAAAGAATGTATGGATGAAAAGAATGTAGGGATGAAGAGAATGCAGGAATGAAGAGAATGTAGGGATGAAAAGAATGTAGGGATGAAAGGAATGTAGGGATGGAAAGAATGTATGGATGAAGAGAATGTAGGGATGGAAAGAATGTATGGATGAAAAGAATGTAGGGATGAAGAGAATGTAGGGATGAAATGAATGTAGGGATGAAATGAATGTAGGGATGAAAAGAATGTAGGACTGAAGAAAATGTAGGGATAAAAAAAATGTAGAGATGAAAAGAAAGGTTTCAGGGACCCCGGTGACTTTCTTTGCGCACTGATAAAATATCATCTTGGGGTGTAGAATTAAATATTTGTAAATTTCGACCACTGCGCCATCTATACAAAAGCGGCGGAAACTACTTAACAAATTACCGACTTATCGACTGAAGTTCCGACAGTCGGTCAAAATAATTAATTATGTCTAAATAAACAGTATCCTATAACACTCGTACATCTTTCATTTTCTGCATATTATTGTTAAATAAATACTAATTTTTATTAATTAAATAGTCACATGACCTAAAACCGTTATTGTGAGCAAAATTTCCAACTGCTCCAGTGGCGCAATTGGTTAGCGCACGGTACTTATAAGACAGTGAATCGTGAGCAATGCCGGGGTTGTGAGTTCGAGCCTCACCTGGAGCAATTTTTTTTTCCTCTCTTCTAAATCATGTATTACACTCTAACATCCCCGCAAAACAATTATCTAAATGTTAACTACACCTACGATACACATTTATACTCTATATTTTCAAAAGTAAGCAAGTACCGAAATGAAACCAAGACGGAATTGTATACGAGTTTTAATTGTATTTCTTACATTCACTATGATTTATGAAAATCGGATTGGCAAGTACCAGGCATTTAGCTCTGAACAAAGCTTCAGACCTAGTGTGAATAATGCGACTGATGCTAATGTGCTTGTAACGAAAGGATCGCGTCTTAAAGCGCGTAGAACGCAGGAAAGAGAACAAGTGCAGACATCATCAAAATAACGAGTACCCTTATTCAACAAATATGAGTCTACGGTGCGCTGTACTTCCTCGAGTTTACGTACTCTACTCTCTAAAGGAAATATATTAATAATATTAACATGATATACCACAATTGTGAAGAAATTACAAACTTTTTGTTAACGTTTGATAAAGGTATACTTGCTTCGCGATATACGCCGAGGACAGGATGGTTCGCATTCGTCTCGAAACATAGCAAACTCCATTACCTCGTCTGCAGCTTCTTTCTCCAACACTTCTTTATCCATTTTCTTCGCTTTACCTGTTTCACCTGTGCTAGTCGTTCTATCTATTGCGTCTGTACCATCTGTACCAGCAGCCCTATCTCCACTATCCATATCATCAGTCTGCAACCCTGTCGCGTCTGTAACTTCCTGTTTCAACGTCTCTTTGTCCATTCTACTCGCTCTATCCGTTTCATCCATCCTATCCACACCATCAATTCTATCTGTACCATTTGCTTTATCTATTCTATCTATACCATCCTTTTTATCTGCTCGATCAACGCCATCCTCTTCATCTATTCGATCAACGCCATCCTCTACATCCAGTTCCAACTCCCTCTTGGAATCGGTTGTGTACATAAAAGTCTGTTTTGCGACATCTGTTTCAAACGGTCCAACGAATCTTGTGTTAGGTAATGGTTGAATTTAGTTGAATAATTTTTATATAATTCCCGGATGTACCGATGGGTTTTTACCTTCCGTAGCATCGCTCCACTGCGTTCCAGACGTTTCTTTACTTCTCCTGCTTCCCGATTTATAACTAGTCGGGGTTTGCGTTCCATCAACTCGCTTGCCGTCCTCCTCAAATTGAGAATCGAACCTCCCTGTTGCAAATTTTCCACCCACGGTACGGAACATAGCAGCTGCCGTGCGATCGCCGGCCATAGCTCTTTCCTTCAAGATCCATGGCGACTCGAGAGCTGGAAGCTTTGCCGATTATCTTTCAGCAATGATTCGCGCGAAAACAATATGAACGAACGTGTGTTCAGACGAATAATATAACCAAAACGTTGGTCGTACCGATCTTCCGTAGCTGTCTTTTTACTACTGGACACCGCGGTTCACATTCAGGCATTTAGAATAAGCTTCAAGAGTCGGTTGAAACAAGTTCCATGATCGAACTTGCAATTGGAAAACCGATATTTCTCTGCCGTTTGACGGCTCGTTAATATAGGTTGACAAACGACTTTCGTGCATTCAATTATCCTGTCACTCCCTCTCGAATTTGTATCACGGAATATTCGAAACGAATGTGTTCCAGATTGTCTCCGGAAAATCGTAAAGCTAGTGTTTGCGAAGGGCCCTGTCCTGAGAGTGAAATCTCGAGGCCAACTGATTGCGAATATTACGGAGAATGTAAAAGAACGATAGATATTGATCAAGAAGATGATCAATTACCTTCGCGATATTTGGAGCAAAGAATCTTTCATTTATTGCTACCAGCGATAGAAGAAACTCTTATAGAAGCATCAAAATGGAACGCTCTTCGAGTACTCTGACGCTTAATTTTTAATTATCTACATTAAAGTAATTAAGCTGAATTATCGCAGGTACAAAAGTGTCGCTTCAATGGTCTCGATTATATCGCGGAGCTTTTGTGGAATCGGAATCCACGTCGTTCAAAGATATATTCGCCTATGCTGAATGTTTTTGAGATACCTCCGTTTAAAGAATACCTGCTTAAACAGTGTGTAAAGGTGTACAAGTAAATTTGCATATTTCTTATCGTGTTTTATTCTTAGTCCTAGACCGTATTACCCGAAGTCATGGTTATGGTCTGAAGAGGAAGCAGCGTTGCATATGCAGAGATATGTACGAGGATGGTTGGTAAGGAAACGCGAGGACGTTCAAGAGATGAGGCAATTCTGGAAGGTAAATAACATACTTTATATTAGTAATATCACGTTATATTATATCTATCGTTTAAAACAGGATATCGCTGGGAAAAATATATTTGGTGAACCTGACCAGTCGCTAGGAACATCAGGTAAACTTTTCTTTATACCTGTAATGTTAATACAGCTACCAGAAGATACGATTGCAGGTGAAAAACAAGATCCAAAATTGATCCGTTGTGAAAAGTATCGTTCGATGTTTCTCAAGTACAAAACGAGGCGATTGAAAACGCTTTCTGATTCGAAAAGACAGTATCAATAAGGAGATTTTTGTTAAAAGAAATATTCGGCGTATGTACATTCATTATTCTATCGTTAAATCTATTACATACAGACATTTCTTAAATGCATTCAAGGTGAGTCGTCGTATTTAATATTTGCATATAAATGCGGACTTGCTGGTTTCCCCAGGCCCATAGTTACATCGATCGTGGGAGTTTCACCCTCTTTGGCCACCCTATAATTTTTTAGGCCCGTCAAATTATATTTCAATGGCAACTTCGGTATATCAGTTTTGTTCTGTTTTCTCGCCTCGAGAAGGAGCATTTCTTTTATTAGCGGTGGAAATTCTACGGTGGCTGGCATGATTTTAAGTTCCGGTTGAAGATCATTGAGAAATCGGTGCTCTTCATCTTTAGGTATTAACACATAATCCGCTTTAGGGGTCGCACTGTCTATCTGCACAGGTTTTGTGCTTTTTTTACCTCGGAACGTCTTTTCAACAAGCGCCATTACTTTTCGCCCTTCCTAGAATACGAAAATCCATCGGATAGATTGTCATTTTGTTTTTTAATTAATTAAACGAGAAGTAAAGTATGCAAAGCATCTTACGTGTGGATGTTTAGTGGTATCCGGTAATGCTGCAACTTTCAATATCCTCATGAAACACGGTTCTGGATACCGCTGAAATCTACTTCGTATCACCATTCTACCTACACCATGATTCTTTAAATTTGCCACAATTTCCCACAAAGGTTTTCCGTTGAAACTGGTGGTGCGGCCAACATATTTTATCGGCATCTTTTCTACGCTCTAAGTCGTTCAATTACGAGCAATCAATGGTCTTCCAAATTGATTACAGCCTAACCTCTTCTTTACAAACACCAATTTCAACAACATTCGTTCAAGCAATGACTACAGATTACAGACACAAAGAGACTGAACGTTTTTAAGAGGTTATGATGTTCCGGGGTTCAGACAACCCCAGGCGCATGCGCGAAGCATGGTCGGTAAAACAGGCGCCCCTGTTGTACGAGACCCTCTTTTATCAGACGTAGGAAAAAAGAGGTCCATCTGCTACTGTAAAAGTAAAAATAATCAAATAAATCAAAATGATAATTTTCATATTGAACATCGCTTATTTTGTTATTTATCCATATATTCTATTTGTTCATGTCCTATCCACCATTCCTATATGTAAAACTGTATTGTTTCTTCAAATGCATCTCCTTAATAAGGGGATGTAAAACATCTATTCATCAATCGTTATGCAAATGAGACTAAAGAGGAATTTCTACAAGTACCTAACCGCAGTGAATTAAAACTAAATCATATAACTTCGATCCAATATAGAATACTATTAACGACTGCTTATTTAACTGACAATAATTATACTTATACCATAAGCCAAGTTACATTGCAGATTTATCGAAATAAACCATAACGGGTGATTAGTCAAAGTAATTGTGTTCCATAAGGAATCGAATACCGATATAGAATTCCATATTATGTACGTAACCTACTTAAATTCTAAATATCCCTGTCCATACGAGTGCTCATAACTACTGATATAACGTATTCTATATAAGTAATAATACGTCTAGATAAACACTGCAGTCTTTAATCGTTAGTTTTTCTCCTTCGACTATGAAACGGAGTAATCACTAACGTCAAATGATCGTCTAAGTATTTAGTAACAGATTGAAGAAAAAAAAAAAGAAAAGAAAAGTTCAAAAGAAATAAATAAAAAAATTAATTATCAGGATTTCATATTGTTCATTAAAATGTAGTTACATAACAAACAGATTGCAAATAAAATGCATTACTCAACGATCCGAATACATTTCGAATCACGTTCAACAAGAATAATTAATCCATTCTATATCCCACGTGTAAATTAAATGGAAAACAAATACATTGGAATTAAATTATACACACTTACGAACTATCGCAAATAATTACGCGTTCTTATAATACATTGAAATAAAAATCAGGGCAAGTTGTATGGGGATGTTAATAACGATTCACGATTTGCTGTATCCAATCGAGATAATGAGAAACGCGAGCATAGACACCAGGAACGCCTGGTTGTCCACAACCGATTCCCCAGGACACGATTCCAGCGAGTTGCCAACGACCGTTTCGTTCGCAAACCATCGGACCACCGCCATCTCCTTTGCACGCGTCCTTTCCTTCCTCTCCTCCGGCGCAAATGAATCCTGGATGAAGATTAAATCCCGGACCCAATCTCGTTCTTCTCATTTGTTGCTCGCAAATTTGATTACTCACTACAGGCACGTCGACCTCTTTCAAAATGTTCTGATATTTCCCGAAGTCCCCAAAGGCGTCTTTGCCCCAACCGGTCGTCCAGCATCTGCAACAAATTTCGTGCGAAATGTTAGAAGGAAAAATGAAAGTTATCCAGGAGAAAGTACGAGAGAACGAGGTTTTACCTGTTCCTCGTGAAATCCTCGCGTGTGTTCGGTAAACAGGCAGGGCTGATGTGAGGATTCTTTTGGAAATCGACGTCGTGATCGATCCTAAGTATCGCGATATCGTTGTAAAGGGTTCCTGCATAGAATTCCGGATGCACCTGGACACTTGCCACGTCTCGTTCGATGTAGGGATAGAATTCGACGTCGTGATTTACGTCCCATTCCCCGAGTCGGACCCGGAGATCTCGAGGAGCGTAAGTTTTTATGCAGTGAGCGGCTGTGAGGATGTGTCGAGAGGAAATGAGAGTTCCTCCGCAGACGTAGACGCTCTCCGTTGGATCTTTCTTCAGAATGGCAACTTGCCATGGATATTCGCCTGCGCGGAATCTTGAAAATTAGTCTCGTACAAATTGAAACATAAGAGGAAAATAGAGAAAAATATCTACCGAATTCAGCATCTCCATCGACGTACGAAGGAGTTTTTATTCTTCCATTGATACCCTGTGTGTATCTAACTCCGCACTGTCCAGGCTGTGGTTTCCTCATCGGTTGCCTCTTCGAACAGCAAACGTAACCGGGCCCGCAAGCTCGTGGAGCGCCGAGGAACTGTCTCTGTTGAGGAAGCGGAATTCTCGTGAAACCTTTTGAAATCGTAGAAAGCGCGTGTCGTGTCGAAGGTGCAATTGCAACACGACTCGGATTCTTCGAAGAATCATTCACGCGTCCGAGGGAAATGTTGTTCTCCTTTCGAATTTCATCGACGACCATTCGACTTTCGTCGATGCTTACCTCGGTTACATCTTTCGATAATTGCACCTCGCGTTTTCTTCGGCTCGGAAATGATACTTTCCCTGTGGACTGTTTGTTACCGTTGCTACGCGCGGAACCGTGATAATTCTCGTCGTAATCGTAATCGTAATCGTCGTCGTCGCCACGATAGTAATCGGAGTATTCGTGGTGATGAGGATAAGGTGTCTCGTGATGGCCGTTATAGTGATGAGGGGGATAACGAGGAGGTTTCACGTAGTACGGTTTTTCGTGAAACCCGACTGGTTTCGAGGGATAGTAATGCGGCGCGTAGTTATTCCCGTAATTATCGAACAGCGTTTCCTTCTTTTGTGACAGCAGATGACCGAGTTTCTGAACGAGATTCTGATTAGGCGTCACGTGGAGATTGACAAACGGTTTTACCACCTTCTCGCCGTACTCGTCTTTGGTGAATTGTACGGCTAGCAGAGGATTCACGGAAACCAGGCCGAAATTTATACCTTGATCGGCCGTACCGTACCCTCTGTACGGATTTACCAGGACATTGTCACCGTGAGGACCTATCGGGTACGAACCACCGGTTTGAGGTAGACCGAAACTGATCCCCCAGGTTGGCTTGAGGTTTAATTTCGAAGAGTCCAGATCGCTAGCATCGAGTCTCTGCAACCAGAGAGTCGAACAGTCACGCAGATAGAGATCCGAGCTTCTAATTTCCTCCAATTTCGTCAGCTTTTTTAATCGATTCGTGAATGCAACAGGACCGGTAAACCGCGTAATTTTAACCCGGACCTACCCTCTGTCGTTTACTATTCGACTTTTGCATTCGCGAAACCGCGGATCCCGAATAAATAATCGCGGTTAGAAGAGAAACGCGCGAGAGAAACGACGATTGCATCGCGAACGTTTCTATGATTATCATCTAAGAAGATAAGAAGATTTCCTCTTACCCCTTCACCGTTACTCTTCTTCCTGCCCTCGATGTTCTCAGATTCGTCGGTTCCTCTCTTGCTCCTCACATTTCCCTGCGATTCTGTCTCCTCCTGTCCAGTGCTTTCCGAAGAAGCGTTCGAATCGATCTCGGTACTCTTCGCCACCCGGACGATCGTAGATGTTCCATTTACAACCACCTCCGCATTCTCCGATTCGATATTCTTATTTAAATTACGGGGATCGATTGGTAGGAAAAGATCGTCTTTACGTCCAGCGTGTTCTCCAGGGCATTGATCGTATGGCACGCAAACGCAGTCGGAGGCAAAGCCCGCGGAGAAATCGTTTCCAAAATTCCCATTATTGTTACCATTACCGTAAGAGTTGAAATAATTATTGTTCGCCGATCCGGAAGCAGTGTAATCATTAACGCTACTCTGTACCGCGTTCGAAGAGACATAATTGCCCGGAGAAAAGTACTTGCCAGTCTTCTGAGCGTCTGCTTTACCGAAGGAAAAGTCTCGTGCTGGCTTCTCGTAAACGGGATACTGTTCGGCATAATTGTTCGTCGAGACGGAACCACTCAAACCATTTCCATCGTTGCTCGTTCCTTTCACTTTGAACGCCTTTTTATAATCATCGAAATCTTGGAAGCCACCGGCGTTAGAAACCTCTTCGAAGCTCGTCCCAACGGCTCCGTAACTGGCACCCTGGCCTATCGTGCTCGGCACGAAGGAGGATCCACCCGCGCCCTCCGGGTGATGATAATGATGATGAACGTGTTGTTGAACTGCCTCGGTACCAAGGGAAGGTCTCAGCGAGATTTGTTTCTTGTCGATGCCGTCGTAGCTGAATCCTTCGTTCAACAACCCTGATTCGTACACCGGCTTCGATCCGAACGACGGAATCGGGCCCGGTTTCTTGAACCCGGGGTAGGAACCAATTAAACCTGGGGGGAAATGCGAAATCGGTGGATGCGCCGCTCCTGCTGATCCGTAGATCACTTCCGAGGGTGGTCCGGAGGAGATAAAGCCAGGAGAGGGTGGGCCAGGTTTTAGGGAAACTCCGTAGGGTCGTTTAACCGGGATAGCTGGCAATGGTCTTCCGACTGGCTTGATTGTGACAGGTTGAGCGTAAATTATATCCTGAGGATGTATACCGCGATGGGGAGAGTAGTAAGGTCGACGTCCTTCGACATTCTCGCACTGTTTAAACGATTCTTATTAGATACATTTTATTTTTATATTCTAAATGATCGATTCTTTTATACGTACGTTCATTAATCCCAGGGAGCATAGTTTATCTCTGATGTACGATCTGGCGATCGTATCGTTCCCCAGTTGAAGGGCGTTCTTCACGTTGGGGTCGGAATATATTTGATCGTAGCCCTCGATGTTGCGACCCTGTCGATTAGAAACGAGAATTTCCTCGATCACGGATTCCACCTGCAAACGAATCAATCGCGTGATTGCTTGAACCGAATTGTATGAAATATAATTATTTACCGATGGTTGGGCATTTTCTTCGACGATTAACTCTGCATTCGTATTCGCGCTCGTTTCTGGCACTTCTCTTTTGTTCCCTGGTCCGCTGGCTGATGGAAGGTCCTCGCTTTGCCAGGACCACTCCGGTTTCCCTGTATCCAAACGCAACGAGGATGGGGTGTCTATGGGAATCATAGTCGCGACGCTGCTCCCGGCTACGCCGAGTAATAAAAACGCCCACAATCTCATCCTGCAACTAAAGAAATACACTTAAAGTCGCCGCGATATGAATCGTTAGAGGCTCGTATCAATCGGTTCACCAGCCTTTTTAAAAATTCGCGGTTGTAAAGTTCTCGATCGCCGCGGAAGGTCGACTGACGGTGAATCGTACGGAACGATCGGAACAATGGGCCGGGCGACCGACAAACCGGCAAACGAAAGCGAGAGGATGTCGGAGAAAGTCGGTAAACTGGTCTTTGTACGATGCCTTGAGTCTCGTACTTACACGCCTACACTATCGCGTCTTTCGAAAATTTTCGAACCGGTGAAAGTTGTTACGTAACATTCGCGCGACACGAACCGATTGCTTTTTCTTTCACCGAATATGGATCGACAGGATAATAAATAAATTGTGTAATAAATAAAATAAAGAAAAATAAGAAGATTGAAAGTAATATACAATTAAAATGAAATGGGAAAGTTGAGCGAATAGAAATGTACGTGAGTAGGAGGAAAAGGAAAAGTTTCTACACGACTCTTACCTTAACTTCGTCCTGGATTTACCGCTGTAAACTTCTCACTAATTGAAGATCTATATAACCAGTAGACTGACAACGGATGTCTGGCGATGAGTCGAGTTTCGCTCTCTAACCAAACGCTTTCTCCATGAACGAGGTTACTCTGCGCGTTCACCGATGCCATTCGTATCTTATATAGACGTCCCTTTCGGAGATGCTGAGAAGTCGGTAAAAGAACTTACGGTGGGGTACGATCGTGACTCATCGTGATGCCGGACATCCGTTTTGGATAGGTTCCTCGAGCCGAGTACCCCGGCGCCCAAACGTTTTCGCAATCCCCGCACGATCGCTCATCTTCTTTGACTCCTTGATTTCTGAATCGATTATTCAATCTTTCCACAGAGTTGAAGAATATAATACAACCCTTTTTTTCTAATACATATTTATCATATAATATAATTTACAAATTTATAAAATTAGAATTAAATTCTACCCTTCTCGAGGGTGAATCAGCGTTTCGAAAGTGACGCCGTTACGCAGATGAAATTAGGTCGACAGCGATCGGTTTTGATAATAACACGTAACAATGCAAAATTTAAATGCTAATCTATCGATGGTTTGAAAGATTCGTTTACGGTCACAGTGTCGGAACACGGTGACACGAGACAGGCTACGTAGGTGCGTATGGATGTACGCAAGCACATTGTGTAACTCGGGATTTTCGTTAATAGACTTGCGTAAGATCCACCACGAAACGTCCTCGTTTAAGAATACACGACGATTCTTAGATCTACGCAGAAAAACCTTGATTAGCCAATTATTAAAATATAAACACGACGATGGATCAAACTCGACGAGTGTTTATTAATAAAACCACAGGACAGGTAAATGTCACCTGGTTGTTTTGATAAATGTACGAAAGTCGATGGTTTCTTTCGCCGAAAAATTGGCACAGGATTAACTCGTTCCGAGTTTGGAGGCGAACGATAGCTTCCAAATTTTCAAGGAAACCGATAGTCGTCTTTGAACGCCTCCTCGACGACCATTTTCGTCGTAGCTCGTGCCATTTCGAGATCCGGGTGAAAGTGTTTCTTATTTCTGTTCATAGACGAGTCTTACAATAACAAAATCATCGATTGTTTCGTTAAATCGATTTTTCTTTAATCAAATCCCATAGATCCGGTTTAGCGTTATAGATTAAACAATGAGTGAAAGAGAAACGTTGAAAAATGGACGACGAAAGGTGCGTTGCACCGGCAGGTATTCGGTTGCGCAAACTGGATTTTCCACCCTCTCACGTAACCCTTTGGGTTTTACGCGTGCCAGGTCGCGGTGAAATCGGCGTCGAACGATCTTTTGCCAGCCGTAGCCTAGAAACTCCGGTAAACAAGAATATTTCGCATCGAAAACGTCGATGCACCGGAGGATTTCTTATTCCTCGCGCATCGTTCGCCAACCGCGCGAAAAGTTTCGTTTACTCAGAGAAAGCTGGATCTATTTTCACTTTCGATTTCGGTTGCAAGTTCGAAAAAAAGCGAAAGGGAAGACGGACGACGCATCGAACAACCTTTCTATGGAAAAAATTGTTTTTATTTCATGGAAGAGGAAAAAAGAAACTTGATAATGATTACTTGAACGAATTTATCGATGAACGATACACGAAAGTGAACGGTGAGAAGCCGGTGCTGCGTAGTTGGTAGATCTACCGCGGGATCCAGGACGGTGTTGCTTTACGATCCTCGACGTCAGTAGATAATGCGATAACCGTGCTGTTCGATCGAGTAAGTGGACGGCGCTGCTGCTAGCTCGAGAGATCCCAGAGCTGGTACCGCGTAAGCGTACGGGGAGACCTGGAAAATGATGAAAGTCAGCGAAAACCTGGATGATCCAGCGACCTATCAATGATACAGACCTGAATCGGCGAAAGAATGGGCGCCGCGGCGATTGGGGAGACCAAGGGTGGTGCCACCCATTGGGTCAGTTTCGCCGTCGAAGCTGGAGTCCTTATTTCTGATATCAGAGCTTTGGCGGACGAGGACGGGGGTCGTGCGATCGGCGATGTCGATCCTATCGTCGACGATGATGGGAAACGTTCCTCCGACGTGGTGGGTCTCGAGGATGGCGCTGATATTTCGGAAGATCCCGCGGAAGCCACCGGGGGCAAAGTTGGGGCTGCGCTAACCGTAGCGAGCACGACGGCGAAGAGAATCTGCAAAGGCATTACCTTTACCCTTTTTCCCTTACGGGACACACAGTACGGAAAAACACGTTCGAGGGTTTTACTCACAAATCTGAACATGGCGAATACGAGATTTCAACGCGTACACGCTACGAAACGCTCCTTTATTTCTGGACGAGGCTCGACTCGAAGCTCTGGTACTTATAGAGATCCCAAGGGTGCCGTAAAAAGGAAACCCGTCCCGTTTGCGAGTAGGGACCGCCAGTTCCAACACGTCGTTATATTCCTCTTCGACTTTAGAGGGCGGGACTTATCGAGCATCTTCGTTCCTCCTTGAATATGCACACTTGGCTCTATTGAAAATCTTTAGGGAACAGTATTTTTTCGATACCTCATCTCTCGACGATTGGTCGAACCGGGGGAAAATATTCGTTTCAAGAACTTTCTTCTTTGAAAATTCAATATCTACTAAACATATTTTTCTACGGACCTCTAAGATTCCACTTATCCCGAGTGAAAAAATGAAAGAGGAAAGGAGTGGAAATGATTTTTACAAGGAAACCCTGTGGGAAGAAGGGACGAGGGCGTTCCTGACTGGACGAGAAAAATCGGCCCCGGTGATTGCAACCGGTTCGCGGGGTTGATCTCGGTACTTTTCTCGTCCCTCCTCGAGGTCAAGTTTATTATCCAGCAGGCAAATTTCTCGAATCTTCGAAGAAGCTGTCGACTAGTTTCGCAAGGTATACTCGGTACACGATTCTCGACCGGTTTCTCTCTGAAACTCGCTGAAAAACGGTATCGAGATCAGAGAAGAAGGACGGAATCGGAGTGAGAACGAAGGAACGATGGGAACGAAAAATAAATTCTAGTTCGTGTTGAAAATGAGCAAAGTTTATTGATGATTAACCGACAGCGTCGATTCTCGTGGCGCAGACGGTAGGATGCGAACCGATCGTGGGAACGATTTTGTCGGAGTAGCACGGTCGACTAGAGCGGCTGGAGAAGCGGACCCGTTGGTTGATTCGGCATTGTTCAGTATGTGTATCCAGCGACGACCGGGGCGTGTGCGAGGACGGTTGCTGCCGGGGCGGCGGCGACCAGCGGAGCGGCGGTTTTCACGACGGCGGCGGTTGCGAGAGGTGCAGCGGCGATGTACGGAGCGGCTACCACGGGGCTCTTCACCGAGACTTTGTAGGTGTTGGCGTAGCTGGTGGCGACGGGAACGGTGTGGGCCACTGCGACCGGTGCGGCAGCGACGAGAGGCGCGGCGTGGTACGCGGCCGCCGGTGCCAGGATGCCTGGTGCTGGTTCCGGTGCCGGTGCGGCCAAGGCACAGCCGAACAAAGCGAAGAGAGCGACGAATTTGTACATGGTTGCGACGTTGGTTGTCGTTGACGATTAACGAACTGATGCTTAACAGCTGAGATCGCTGAGAGTCGAATGATGCTCGACTAACCGATCCGCTGCCCTTTTATTCCACCGCGCTGACCTCTCCCACCATAACGCAACCATCTTCGATTACATGCACCTCTGTGTTTCGCTCCATTCCGTTCCACGCTGTTCGATTTGTTTCCTTCGAGACAGGACTATCCCAACCACTTCCACTACCTCCGGCGGCTGCGATTCAGGGTCTCGTTTCTTTTCGTTCTCCACCCAGCGAGAAACATTGTCAAGGACTACGCCGCTCGGCTGGATCCGCGTGCAACGTACCCGAAAGGCCCTGTCCCTCTCCCTTTTTACTTGACCATCCGGTCATTAACGATATCATCGACCTTACAACTCCGTCTACCCTCCGTGCGGTTCCTTGGGTTCCGATCGTACAGTTTCCAATAGTCCGCGAGAAGGAAATTAAGAACAGACGGATCCGACGATTATAGGATCTATCGGCGATGTCTATAACAGGCAAACCCCCCCTTCGCATACGTATTTCGAGATAACTCCGATTAGTTAACCGACCGTTCGTTAATTAATACACGCGAATCATACCCCCGTAATCCGCTCTCTATTTCCACGCTAACGTAACGTCGTTGTACTCGTCCAAGTTAATACCGATAACGTTACGTTATCCTGCATGTTTACTTCGAGCCGCGACGCGATTGAGTAACGATTGGTAAGCCTCGTTTATACGCCCACTCCGTGGCGTATGGAAGGTGCGTCGCGACGCATACCGACGCGACGCGAATCACCTAGAGAGGTCAGTTGGCAAAATAGGGACGAATGAAAACGAGGAACGTTGTGACATTGTTTGCGAAACTTTACGTCGGACTCGAGTTCACGTATCGGGACAGTCGGTGGGTACGGTTGTTCTTTCCGGAACCAGTCCACCTCGTCTAAATTTTGTTTCTCTTTTTCCTCGCTACTATTCTTTGGTCCTCTTTTTTCTTCTGTCGACCACTGGTCGCGTATTTTATAGCAAGGTCGTATTTCGTAAATACCGCTCCTTGCTCCGGCGCCGACAACGATCGTCCTCCAATGTTTGCATTTTTTTTTTAAATTATTCTTATTTTCTCGCGTCGACCTTCGTTGTAACTCTTCTCCGCGCGACTTTCGGTCGTTGGGAACGGTGGATCGATGGAGGCCGATCCACAGGTAAAAAATATGAAAGATCGACGATAGCTGTTCGGGCTTAGCAACGCCCAAATCCGGAAGGCCTTGGCCTGTCCGATATCGCGAACTTTCAGATTACTGAACGAGACAGTGATTCCGCGACTTGCTGGCTCGTTTCGCCGAAAGCTGACCAGGTTCTCTTCGAAGAGGGATGCTTCGGTCTATAAAAGAGCTCGACACGCTCGACATTCGAATCACTCGTGAATCGCGAGCCGATTAAATGAACGACCGTCTGCTCGAAACACGATACACTTTTCGGTTATTTTTATCTTCCGTAATTAATTCCTTGGATTTATCGAATGAATTTTTAATAAACGGTAGAAAAGAAGTAGAACCGAGAGGAAGAAACCGGAAAGATGAATAAACGCGATAACGAATGTAATTTCCGAGACCTCGACCGAGTCTAACGATATCGTTGACAGACCGTTGTTTTATCCTCGCGTAAGAAGCTCGACGATTCTCTCGTCGAAGACTCGGGTTTATGATTTTCCCAGTTACCGATGTATCAGCAGTTTCCAGGGAGCAAGCGAGCGTGAAAACGCGCATGAACGCGTGTGAAACCGTCTAAAACGTGGGAACGGTGTTCAACCAGGTAGCACGGCTCGAATCGATTCTGTTGAAAAATAAACGTACGCTTGTTTCTTGAAAGTCTGACGTTCAAATAGCTTCTGCGATGTTCCATAGTATATTTAGACAAGAAAGCTTTGGAGAAAGGGTGAACAAATTACAGCAATAAGTTACAAACGTAATTGGTACACTTCTAACGATACGATCAACGCTGATGAACGGACTAAAGGGATTAAGGGAGGATCGGGTGGACAGAAAGAAAGGATAAAGGAGGATGGATGGAAGTGGTCGAATGTGTGTAAGGGTGTTACGAGAAAAAAGCTATTTCCAAGTTAACGCAGATAACACCGCGTTATCTATCGAGCAACGATATGAAACTCGCATTACATTTCTTTCGGACGAGTTAATCTCAAGGGTTTTCACCCTCGCCCTCTTCCTCCTCGTCGAATTCGCCTTCCTCTTCCGCGGTTGCTTCTTGGTACTGCTGGTATTCGGACACCAAGTCGTTCATGTTCGATTCCGCTTCTGTGAACTCCATCTCGTCCATTCCTTCTCCCGTGTACCAATGAAGAAACGCTTTCCGCCTGAACATCGCGGTAAACTGTTCCGATACTCTCTTGAACAATTCCTGAAAAATGAATTCAATGTTAGAAAGGTTCGAACGAATATTCACGAATTTACTTACCTGGATGGCTGTCGAGTTGCCGATAAAAGTGGCCGACATCTTAAGTCCGCGAGGTGGTATGTCGCAGACGGCGGTTTTAACGTTACTCGGTATCCAATCGACGAAATAAGTGCTGTTTTTATTCTGAATGTTGAGCATTTGCTCGTCAACTTCCTTCATCGACATCCTGCCCCGAAATACGGCCGCCACGGTCAGATAACGACCGTGACGAGGATCGCAAGCCGCCATCATGTTCTTAGCATCGAACATTTGCTGGGTGAGCTCGGGGACAGTGAGAGCTCTGTACTGCTGCGAGCCTCTGTTCGATGAAAAATATCGAGTATCGTTCCGAGGGAATAAATGAAAATTGCTTGAAATTAATTTACCTGGAAGTTAACGGTGCAAAACCAGGGATGAAGAAATGCAATCGAGGAAAGGGCACCATGTTTACGGCGAGCTTTCGCAGATCGGCGTTCAACTGTCCGGGAAATCTCAGACAAGTGGTCACCCCGCTGAGGGTGGCGCTTACCAAATGATTCAAATCGCCATAAGTTGGCGTGGTCAACTTCAAAGTGCGGAAGCAGATGTCGTACAGAGCTTCGTTGTCGATGCAATAAGATTCGTCCGTGTTCTCGACCAACTGATGCACCGACAAAGTGCAGTTGTAAGGCTCGACTACCGTGTCGGACACCTGTAATGAATTTTTTATATTAGAAGATGAATACGAAGGGAAAAAGGAAGTTGTACCTTCGGCGAAGGGACCACGCTGAAGGTCATCATGATTCTATCCGGATACTCCTCCCGAATCTTCGAAATGAGCAACGTTCCCATTCCAGCCCCGGTTCCGCCGCCCAGGGAATGGGTTAACTGGAAACCCTGCAGGCAGTCGCAACTTTCGGCTTCCTTTCTGACAACATCGAGAACGGAATCAACGAGCTCTGCGCCTTCGGTGTAATGCCCTTTGGCCCAGTTGTTCCCGGCGCCGCTTTGTCCAAAAACGAAATTATCCGGTCGAAATATCTGACCGAACGGTCCGGAGCGTACCGCGTCCATCGTGCCGGGCTCCAAGTCGACCAGGATCGCTCTAGGAACGTATTTCCCTCCTGATGCTTCGTTGTAATAAACGTTTATGCGTTCCAATTGTAGATCCGAGTCGCCATGGTAAGTGCCGGTCGGATCTATACCGTGTTCGTCGGAGATCACTTCCCAAAACTGATAAGAAAAATTCTTATTAATTCTATCAATTAATTTTTCGATATCTCACCTTTGCTCCTATTTGATTGCCGCATTGGCCGGCTTGCAAATGGGCGATTTCACGCATCTTCCTTCTATCTATAGAAAATTAATACTCTTTCTTCGATGTGCTTCTTCGCTATCTTTACCTTCGCTCCGTCGATTCTACTATCACTTCTTTTCCAAGACGAGCTAGAAATTCTTCTAAAACCAGGAATTCGTACCAGACGCACGCGTGGACATTGAAAAGCTCGAAACCGAAGATGGTAATCAACAGGTCGTGTTTTGTTTCACGGTTGCCATGGATCTTTTGTTTCGCGATCAACTTCGGAAACTTCGCTCTGTTCCCACCGATCGGAAATTGCATCCTGTAAAATTAATCAATTGCCAACAGAACTATTCTATTTCCACTGAAAACTTTTAATAGACAAAACTTGATAAAATAAAAACAGAATATTTTGTGTGTGAAAAATTTGTTTATTGTAACATTTTACAAAATTGAAAGATCAGAAAATGTCGATTATTAATTAGGGGTGGAAATTCAAAGAGGACGGAGTGGGAAACATCCAGAAGCATCGTTGGTTTCATCTAATTCCAGTTTTGGTGTCCATGATCTGCACGGTGGTGAACAATGATGGTATCGAAGGTTGGGCAGTTGTTTAGTGGCTGGACGGTGGTTGGTTCGAACGCAACCGGATGTTTCGCGATTCGTCCTCGAATGGTAACTCGAGCAGGTACAGTTTTCAGCGTCTGCCAGCGTAGTAAGCCGCGGCTGGGAGGCTGGTGTATGCGAGCGGGGCAGCAGCGTGGGCGACCACGGGGCTGGCGATGTAGGGTGCAGCGATCGCGTGGTTAATCGCGTGCGCGTTGTAGCTGGATGCATAGGTCCCGACAGTCAGTGCCGCAGGAACGGGTGCAGCCGCGTAAGCCGCTGGTACCGCGTGCAACACTCCGGCCGAGCAAGCGGCGATCAAACAAGCGAAGAGAACCTTTTAAAAATAAACAAAATATACGTTAGTTTAATCAATAGACGAATTTAGCTAGGCTAAAACGAACTGATCGTTTCTCCGTCAACTTACCAAAAATTTCATGGCAGACATTTTGCGATTGGAGATCTCGAAAGTGGTTCGAGTGGTTAGCTACTGAATACTGTACTGACATGTGGATTAGCTAGACCTCTTTTATACTCGGTTTCGTCCAGGACACACTCCCACTACATACATATTCGCGACACTGGTTTGTGACACGATGCGACGGTAACACACGCTTCTGCATACCAGATTACCTTTACTCGTTTTAAGCCACGCCCGCGATTACCAACGTTGACCCTACTACCACGTGTGCTCGAATCTAACCTTCTCCACTTTTTTTTTTTCTTGTAACAGTGCCCCTTGGGTTGCGTCGATCGACGTCACGATGTCGATCACCGCGTTTGACCATGATCAAATCGTCTACTCCTTTGAACGCTCTTTGTTCCAGCACCTTTGTGCCTCCTACTTCTTAATCATTCCTGGAGTGTCAATGATTTCTTAGGGTTATTCGAGTTTACAGAGTTTAGAAATTATTGGGGGTATGTACCTTGGAATCTAGAAAAAATAGATGGTACCTCCCTTAGAATTTAGAGAAAATTGGGGGTACCTCTATAGAGTCTAGAAAAAATCGAGGGTAGCCTCCTTAGAATCTAGAGAAAATTGGGAGTACCTTCCTTAGAGACTAGAAAAAATAGATGGTACCTCCCTTAGAATTTAGAGAAAATTGGGGGTACCTCCATAGAGTCTAGAAAAAATCGAGGGTAGCTCCCTTAGAATCTAGAGAAAATTGGGAGTACCTTCCTTAGAGACTAGAAAAAATAGATGGTACCTCCCTTAGAATTTAGAGAAAATTGGGGGTACCTCCCTTAGAATTTAGAGAAAATTGGGGGTACCTCCATAGAGTCTAGAAAAAATCGAGGGTAGCTCCCTTAGAATCTAGAGAAAATTGGGGGTACCTTCCTTAGAGTCTAGAAAAAATCGAGGGTAGCTCCCTTAGAATCTAGAGAAAATTGGAGGTACCTCCCTTAGAGCGTAGAAAAAATTAGAGGTACCTCCCATAGAGTCTAGAAAAAATGAGGGATTCTTGAATAGATTTCTACAAGAGGTGGTCTTTATTAGCAACAGGCGTTAAATTATAAAAATATCGATCATGTGAATCATACGAATCTCTCCCATTCGGTTTCCCGAAATAATCTGAAACCTATGTAATCGCAATAATTGCAATTTCAACGGGTGATATATATGTTGGGTGCGGCTCGCGCACGTTCTAAATACGAAACGCGCTCGTTTTGCGTTTGCGACAGCGATTGGGACATCGTAAGTTTCGAAGATAGTTCATCGAGCGTGACTCGAATTTCCTACATAAATCGTCGTCTCGTTCATCAACTAGCTCCCGGTTTCAACGCATCGGAGAAACTTTCCCTCGGTTCATCGATACTGCTCTCTGTCCTAGACGAATTCTTTCAAGTTCAACTTTCAGATGTCGTAATAAATCTCGTGAGCAAAGTATAACAAAGAGACACGGTAAGAAAGCGTATAATTAATTAAATTTATCGCTTTCGTGTCTGAGAGACATAACGAGCCAGGGTCGTTAATTAACAAAAATACTGAATTTTATTTCAGTAACTGCATATTTTCTTGATATACTTGATAAGATACTCCAAGCCAAGTCTCAACTTCAACAATGGGTACGAAGAATACGTAGACCGTAACCATTACCCGTCGATTAGAACCATCAGAATTTTTACTCTATCATCTTGGTTCATAACTAGTACCTTTGCGAAGCTGGTAACAGTCATAAGTCGGTATCGTTGCATCGTTCTACTTTGAAGAATATGGAAGGAAAGGTTTACGAAGGTCGTAAGAAACGTAAGAATAGATTGCTGTTGCGTTGATTTGCTGTTTATTCCATAAAAACGAGAAACTTAACGTAGGGGCTGAGGTGAGATGTGGTCATTCGGGGTGTTCAATAAGGGTGGTAAGCGTAAGCAAGGGGTGCGGCAGGTGCGGCCGCAAGTGCGAGCGGTGCGTGCACGGCATGGGCTGCTGGTACGGCTGCTGTCAGGGCAGCGGCCACGGGGGCAGCATGGACGGCGGTGGTGTAAGCAGCGAGTGGTGCGGCAGCAAACGTGTTATAATTCCTAGCGATGACCTGGCTGCTTCTAGCAGTTACGATGGGTGCGGGTAAAGCTGCCACATGTGCCGGAGCTGCGATCAAGGGAGCTGGGGCGATTACGCCGGCAGAGGCCACGGCCGCCATAAAAAGGACGATGCACTGAAAACGAAGAGAAAATAATCAATTTTCAAATGATAGTAGAATTTGAAACAAAAGTAGAATATTTGTTCTTTGCAACCACTTACCGCTAACTTGAACATGTTGAACTTGATGTGATTGATTCGACTTTGCAGCGAACTGTGCAGATCCGTCGAAGCGTCCAGGTTTTATACCAATGACCACCGCTCTTCGAACAGAGAACTTACGAAAAGTTGATGCGTCGCTTACGAAAGTTTTCACCCTCCTTCTCCTCCTACCTATCTGTATAGGTTCGTGTCAACCGCGCATTGAAATGCCGAACGCGCGGACCGTCCGCGTTTTCACGCGCCCCCTCGTCGTCGATCCTCCGTCACGGGGGCCGTCGTATTTTCAAACCGCTCGCGTTTCGTCGCTACAACCGGCGACTAATGGGATCGATCGATTTCGATGACCTTGATATCGAAAGAGAAGCACAGGACGGACGGACAACTTCCACGAGTATCGTGAAATTACGTAAGCCACCACGCCGAGCAATTGTATAACCCTTTCAGCTACGTGCCTGCCCGGTTGATACTCATAACAAGGTTATAACGACGGCCCACTGATTACGCGGATCGTTCCGCTTCCCACACGATCTATCTCCAACTATTTCGCTTAGTTTTTCACCACCTCTGATCCAATCTTTCCATTCCATTCCATCTCTCTAAACTCTGCTTAGCTTTGTCTATATTAGCATTCGTCGCCAAGCGGATCTTTCTCATTCGATCAGCATGCTTTTTGTTCGCGTTGTCTCATCGACACGATCGTACGATTTTAATCGATTTTTTCCATGCCTCTCACTTAGCTGATCTGGTCATTCGCATTCCTTCTTCTATCCTCGCTTCTTACTCTTTCCGTCTTTTTCCGCTGTACCACAAGGCCGCACAGCTTCAAGGCAAGGCGTACGCTTTTTTCTCAAGTTCAAGTTCGTCGAGTCTGGCTCGAGGGAACGTCGTTTCCCCTTAAAGGTATGTGCCTTGTCTCCCAACCGGGAGAATTTCTTCAAAATGTCAATATCCTTTGAGAATTTCTTCTCGTTCCTTGAAAATTGTCAAAGTTTCAGAGGAACCATTATTATATCAAGTCCTTTGTACTCGATTCCCCGATCGTCTGATCGATTTTTTCCAAACGGACCGGGTGCAAGGACAAGCGTAGACGCCGCAGAAAAGGGAAAAACCTGTTTAATCTTGACGGAAAAAAGCCGTGCCGAAGAAGGGACTTGAAAACGATGGAAATCGCAGGGAATTGTCGAGATAGGTACTGGTACCAGGCTAACCTTGAAGAAATTCAGTATCCGCTGATAGTTGGCTGCTGCAAGGGAAAACGTATCTCGACATGCACAAAGGGAGATGTGGATTGGTCGGTAGTCGGTGGAAAAAAGATTAGTCGTAACCAACAAGAAGGAAGCGAACGTCCCGTTCACGGTCTGCTTCGAACAACCGGCTGTTGCCCTTCGTGGAACACCGGAGACGGATAAAAGGAACGAGATGTAGGATGATGGCAAAGGGAAGGGATACCTGGAAACGCGAGGATATTTCTTTGTCGCGGTTTCCCCTATATAAGCTCCGATTCTTCAGGATTTCGAGTATCATCGTTTCAGCTCGTCCATTGTACGCTCCTACGTTCAAACTACCTACTATCAACATGTTCAAGTCTGTGAGTGAGAGGAACGAATCGGCTTTGAAAGGTAAACGATAGAAGAATAAAGATCTAATAGAATTCTTTTCCATTCAGCTGTTGTTCGCCGGATTATTGGCCGTCGCCATGGCCGCCCCGTCGCCGGTACCAGCTCCAGTTCCGGCTCCGGCCCCGGCTCCAGCTCCGGCACCAAGCTCCGCAGCTTTGATCGGTGCTCCAGTCGCGGCTGCTTCATGGGGGGCGGCTTTGAGCTCCAACATCGCGGCTCCTCTCGTCTACACGAGTTACCCGCCGCCCCTACCCCTAGCCGGTTACATACCCTCGTCGCCTTACATCTATAAGAGCTACATTTACTAATAATTACACCAACAACAAACCGTCCAAGCAACCGATCCTCTCGTTTTTCCTAAACTTTGAAAAAAAAAATTACTAATCCTTGTACTTTCCACGAAGGTATCGTTTTCCTACTTCGATTCTCCGTCAATGTTCTGTATCTGTAGACTTTCGTTTCAATAAAGTCGTTTAAAGGCAAGATCGTATCGTCTTCTTATTCGAGAAGCCGACCTTCCGCTTCTAACGTTTCCACGATTATTTGCTTAATGAGAATCTGTCGCGGCAGAGCTTGTTACGCGATTCGTCGTTGTTACTCTGTAAATCCAATTATGTAAACGCGTACGTAGGCGTGACCGCACTCCGAATAATCGCTCTCCACCCATTTGTGTCATATAAATATGTGTATGTATGTGCAAGATCTGTCTTGTACATATGCGAAAGTATATACACATAGGTTCACGGTGAACGTACATGGAAAAGTGTCGCTTTCCATTTGTGATTCGAACGGTCCCTCGTCTAATTCCGAAATCTATTCGCATTTCAAGCGTATTAATAGTTTAAAAGCTTTCACGATCGATACGAAGCGTTCACCGTTTCGGGATTGTTTAATCTCGTATCGGGACGGTTTCCTGTTTGAAACAAAGCACGAAGATTCGTTAACGATGAATGGGGTAAGAGCTTTGTGAAAATCGGACAAGGCCGGTGACAGAGGGAAGTAGCGTAGGGTGACGCAGCCACTCGCAGTCGCGAAGTGTGGGAGCTTTTGTTTTTTTACAAACGACGAATCAATTATGCAGTCGACAATAACAATACCGGCTCGTTACGTAAAGGTAAATGCAACGTCCTCGCAGTCACGTATATCGAGCAAAGGGATGCGTACTGAATCCATGATGGTTGCTTGTGTTTTGTTATCATTAAATCGTCGATATCCACTTGAACATTGATAACGAATAAATCTCGCGATCCACTCGGCTATGAATCAGCGTCTCGTCACGTTGCGTTTTCAGACGGCAACGTGTTCCGTGTTTCAATATTCTTGCCACCCGAACACGTACCCAAGCAACAATACCGAGAAACTTTTTCTTCTCGTTCTCTGTTCTGTTATCTCGTGCACGGAAACGTTCGTGGAAGAAGAGGAGCAAAGTCGAATAAATATCCTCCCACGACGAATGAATATTATTGCGATGAAAGAGCAGCGATTGTTCCGTAACGTTGGATGGGTTCGATGCGTATTCGTTTAACAAAATTCATATGCATCGTTGGTGCTCGTATATTTACGAGCTTATTGATCGTCCGGGTACATCTAGCTGTGGCGACGATGCGATCAGGCCGGATGGTGCATCCACCCCTTGGCGATCGATCGTCGCCTCGGGTTCACCGACCTTTCCGCTTCGAAACGCGATACGATACTCTTTCTGCCCTCGTTACCGCCCTCTTCTCTCTTTATCTCCGATTCACTTCCCTACCTGCTTACACCCTTAACGCTCTTTCAACTATCGCTTCTAATTTCATTCGGAGAATCGATCGATCACGAAATCTACCTCTTTATTACGTCACGAACGGACATTTCCCATAAGATACGAGGGAGAACAATGATCGAGCGTGTGAATAAAAAGGACGATTGCGACGAGAAACAACGAGGCGTCAAATCGGTCATCCCATTCATGAACCACCCCCGCGTGGAGGCTCGCAACGCTCGATCGACGACAGCGAATCAATGGCGATCATGTTGCTCGAATCGATCGAGGGGGTTCGTGGTGAGCGTTTGAAAACGCGTCGCGACGCGTACGCCGCGACGGACGCGTCCCGACGCGCATCGTTGTCACCCTCACGTGGAGCAGAGGACATGCGCGCACCCTCCGCAAAGCCGGAACGGTATATAAGAGAAGACCGCGAATCTTCGCATTTCAGTCCGTCTACGAGTACGCGATAGACACTTGCAACTAACTCGATAGACGATACACACATTATCATTGCGTGTTTTGCGATAAGAACTCTATCGTTTCCAAAGCAATCAACCTTCAGAGGAAACGTGCAAACGCATTAACGATCGCAGAAAAGATTTCTGCTAGATACATCGCATTCAAAGAGTGTGAACGTGGTGAAAGATTTGTCAACGTTTGAAAAACGTGGCTGTTTTATCCCGCGTACACTGTGAAGTGTTTTATCAAAGTATCAGCAAACTGATCGACAGGGAAAGGAGAAGTCTGAGCGTTGATTTCGAATCAGAGATGGAAGAAACGACGAGACTAACCGATCCCGAGACAGATCGTCGCCGAGATAATCAAAAGAACGAGATGAAACGAAAGATCGGTCCCATCAGGGGGGCGGGGCCCTCGAAGCAAGAGTTCGGGGACGACGAGTCCAGCACCGACAGCGGTTGCAGCAGTGGCGGAAGTTCCGGAAGCGCGGAGAGACTGTCGCGTCGCGGAAGTAGCGAGCGATTATGCCGTGCCACAAGATCCCCCCGAACGCACTGTTATCTGAACCGACTGCGATGTCGGTCGACCCGCTCGCAAGACCGGATATCCGGTATTCAAAGAAGTTCCGAACGAGTACGAGCCAAGTCGTCACGTTCGTGGAGCCCTGGAGATGTGAGAGCAGTCGCGAGAACATCCGAATCGCTATCTTACTCTCCCAGCCCTTCGGACGCTCAAAGCAGCACCGATAGCGATTCGTCGAAACGATCATCCACCGCGGACACACTTCGAAGAGCCTTCCAAACGCTCAAATTATCCTCAAAATGGGAGGGCAAGGAGCACAAACACGCGAAGAAGAGCCCTAAGAGAATTCTACGCAGTCCGGTCTCTTACACCTACGTCAGAGGACTGTCGGGACTGCCGACCCAGAGGGTGCCAAGGAACGTCGCCCAACAACTGACGATGCCGTGTTCCTGTCAAGACTCCGTCGCTCTCTACCGATAAGATGCCCGCCCGATCAACCGGTTCCGATCGATTCTATTATTCGATTCCATCCCTATCCACTTCGTGTTTCGTTGCGCGTTCACTTGAACCGTCGATCGCGCAAACAAAACCATCCGATCTTGGACCATTTTTACCAGCGATATTTCCCTCTTCGAACGATCCACTTGATCGCAAACACTCTCGCGTCACCCCGCGCGTACCTTCGTGTACGAATACGCGGACGTTTCTTCGGCGCCGACTTTTTTAAGCCTCGACCAAACGAGTGGATCATAATTGTATACGAGACGAGTCGTAGAACAAAGAGAATCGTTACTTCCAATACGTAGCGAACGTTTTACGAGACGCGTCTTTCTCGTCTTCCTCGGTATTCCTGAGGAACGATGATATAGAATACGACGCGATCCTTCCACGCACCCTCTCGAGTCAATGGAGAGAAGAGAAATTCGGGTGCGTCGATGTACCGCGTTTTTAAGTTTTTCGTCTGTTATTCGTAAACGAGATAGATTACTTAGAAAGAACGTAGATATGCAAACTTGTATGTACTTTTTGTAGGAACGGTTAGTACACCGGATAACATGTACACTAGACTTTATTACTAGTTGAACGATTCGCTGATCCATGTTGATCGCGAGTAAAAAAAGAAAAAAATCTTAATGGAAGAAAGATGAGAGAGAGAGAGAGAGAGAGAGAGAGAGAGGAGTTAAATACGTAATACCGATACGACCAGTCGACTTACACGAATTCTATCGAACTATCGTTTCGCGAGAAGGTAATATTACTCGCGATACACGAGTCAATTACATATGTGAATGCGTCGAGATCGCACCGAATAATATATGAAGAGCATCGAGTATGTAAATGCAGGAATGAAGAAAACGAAAAAAAAAGATATATAGAATTATAGAAGTAAACGCTCGCGATCTCGCGCGATCTTTTTCGCTGACCGTCCCCGCTTTAAGGTACGGTCGTGCACGTTTCGAATAGATCCTAGAAACACTTGTTCGTTAAGGGTACTTTTTAAACATATCAAGGTGTTTTTTTTTTCGTTCGACTCAACCTGTCGATCGAGACAAGGAAAACGACGAACGAGTTTTCGAACTTTTTGTCGCTTGTTTCGTTAGAGTGGTCCAGTCGGTAGTCAAAATATATTTTCGGCGATGAAAATTAAACGACTCGTTTCGAATTCTCTGATAAGTAAATGATGGAAAAATCAGGGTAAATCGATCGATTACGACGAAACGAGTCGACGATGAAAATTTCTCTCTTAAATACTATCGAAAATTCTCGTTTACGTAAAGGCGAACGTAATCGTGAAACGTATACGCGATCTTTCAGTGCCTTGTAAATACGAAACCGCGTGAATCCACGATATGTCGCGGAACGATTGGCACACGATCTTCGCATACTTGTACGATATATTGTAAAATATCCATGAAAACGCCTAATAAGTATCTCTCGACGAATTTCTATTCGCTAAAGCGCAATAGTTCTCGCGTGCGAAAACGGGAGAACGCGAGAACGCGAGAATGAAAGAGAATGCGAATTAAAGCATATTCTCAGGACTGAATGTTTTATATTAAGTGCTACCTATGTCGATACTACTCGTAGTTTACGTATCAAATAAACGTTTTTCATTCTAACAATTGTGTAATCATTAGAAAAACATTTTAATTCCTCAGCTCCAATTTCATTCCTCGAACCGATAAGATAAAAAGCTAAAAATAAATGAGAAATGTTTCTGGAAACGGTGACGAGCTACTTTGCGCGAAAATATGGATAGATAGAAGGGAAATTCAGGGAAATCGGTCCGGGATGGATTCGTATGCAACGTGCCTTTACCGGAACACGATCCATGGACACAATCGTGGAAACGTGGAAGGACGTCCCTGTTCCGTTTATAACTACGGCCATGACAGAATCAACGAGTGACCCACTTGCAGGGGGTTGCACTCCGTGACGTCACACGAAGCAAGCGACGCCATTCATGACCCTAGTTTGACCTAGATCACCGTTAGTATCGTCCTTAGGAAATACCATAGTTCATTCAAGGATCTGGTCTAACCGGGATGCGCACCTCCGCGTTACCTTCGAACGATCGTACAACTATTTCCCATCTACCAAACTCTTTCTTTCTAAGCCAATTTCCTGGTATCAATTCCCTTTTCCTCTTCGCACGATTTTCTAAACGAATGAAATCAATGCGTAAGCTGAGGAAACAATGAACCAATTTTTCCCTGTCACGTACGCGATTGAATCGCAGGTTTCGAGTCCGTTTGGCCTAGTTTTCCTTTCAAACCAGTGACGTCGTCGACGTCATTGAGAAGGCCGTCGACAACGTGTCCTAATTTCGAGCTTGCGATTGAATAAACCCGGTCGCAGCTTGCTCTCCGTGCTTCCTCGATGCGTACGCGCGTCACGCAAACGTACGCGTATCTCTAAACGGATCCCGTGTCTCTTTGTTCGAGAGAAAAGACTCGTTGAAACATTGTTCACGTTCGAACGGAGAGAAAAATTCGTATGAAATGAAATAATCGGGTTAGTTATCGGCGGTACCGTTCGCATAGGCGAATCAATTGAAACGGGGACAATCGAAAAATCCTCACCACCCCCATTCAGCCTGCGATCCTTGCGAGAACGTACGGTCCGGGGGGTCGTTGCGCTTTCCCGATGACGTGGATTATTACGTCACGTCGTCATGACTACCCTCGATCCCCGCTTCGGGAAACTCCGCGAAAATTGGGGCTTCGACCTCGAATTGGGTCGAAGTTGCTCCACTTTCGACGCCCCGTCCCAGCGTCTCTCTTCTTACGATTCCTACACCCACCGCCCTGGATAGCTGTTTACCATCGATACCACGAATCTCGACTCTTCTGTTAAGCCGCGTTCCTTTCAAAGAACCGTTTTAATTTCGCATTTACCTACTTGAAAATATGTAGAGGAACAAACGTGATAAGGTGGAGTAAACAACGATGTTCGGTTAGATAGGTAGGCATCCTTGCAGAGGGTGGTAGATGGGGTGATTTTGAATAACTATTTCCTTTACGGAATCGCTCGCGAAGGCTCGGTTTCTGAATTATTAATTGTAAACGTCAACTGCTCGGTAGCAATGTCGGCTATGAACTGAGCTCGACCGAAGTCACGCATAGCTTATCAACACCGTTTGTAAACATCCACCGTCAAAGCCGATTCTACCACCATTAACCGCGATTCCAGGATTAATAACTGAGAAACTAAGATTTAATTGGGATTTTGGTAAAGGATTTTGTTAAAAATCAACCCCTGCAGGGATACCCATCCTTAACTCAACGCCCTGTACATAAAAACGATAGAGAATCATAATGTAAGTAATGTATATTATTTTTCTCAACGTAACACGATATTATTATCATTATCATTATCATTATCGTTACAATATTTTCTTCTTCCTCGTTCCTCCCGATGCCGCCGTCTTTCCATCGCTCGCGATCGTTAAGCAGTGCTTGAAATAATGCTGATGATAACAATAGTAATGGTAATAGTAGTAGTAGTAATAATCATTATCATCGGTATAATTATAATGTGTAACATTCGAAGATTACGATACTTTCCGTACGCGCGATACATAGGCACGAGTGTGCGCGTTCAAGCGTTCGATTTCGATCGGAACCGATCGGATAACAATCGAAAGTATTGTCAAAAGTACTATTCCCAAAAGATAATGATAAAACGTTTCGAAAATGACGACGAGCTGCTCGAGCTATCTAGAGGCACTATCGTTGACGTGTACTTTCCGACGCGAATAACTTTCCTCGACGTTCGTCGTGTTTTGTACGGATTCATTTTCGTTCTAAGAGAACGAACGAGGAGAACGAACAGACGGAAGAGTTTAAATAGAAGAATTCGAATCGGACATTCTCTAAGGCGTAGAAAATTTTCGAAACACTCGACAGGGGATAACCCGTTAACTAGAATAGAATATTTCACCGATATTCTCTTCCGTTCTGTTCCTTCCGTTTCGTTCGATTCGTATTCTCGTTCGTGTTCGTTTGCATTGATTGAAAGAAGCGTAGCAACGGTAGCGGTTAACAGATACGTGCTATACGACGTTCGAATCGTGGATAAATCGTGAGATTCTATTTTCCAAGAACCGATTCGTACGACGATTCAAAAGGAGAAACAATTCGTTTGCTGGGCAAACGATCCCTGGACTCGGTCAGCAGAGGCAACCACTGGACGATTTTCGCTCGAGCCCTGGACCCTTTATGAACGTCCTATAAAACAATTCGATATATTTCATTAGAACGTAGAATCATTAACCGTGTTATATAAATAAGTACCTACGATTGCTGGCATTCGTATGCATCTATCATGAAGAAAAGCGATCGAGTTACTTATTAAGAGCAGACAGATGAAGCGTTCTTTTTTCTATCCACGAACAATCCAAACAACGATTAGTATTTAGAAACAGGCAGAAATAAAAGTGTTCCGACACGAATTCACGGGTTTTGCTGTTATTAGAAAGAGAAACTGGTCGTTCATGCGAAAGTATTACGATAGGAAAGGTTCTTTGTCGTTAACAACTTACCCATCCTATTCACTGAGCACTGGCAGTAGAGACCTTACGCGAGGATCGAATTAAAAGAAAACAGTATTAGATGAACGTACCGCGAATATTTCTTAATTTTATATGTTCGCTTTTCCAGAATCAATGAACGATCGAAAAGTGAATGATACTCCGTTCACTTACAGTTCGATGCTCTGAATGGTTGACGTAGGACACATGCTGTCCACCTTAACGTGGCAATGTTTGTGACACTTCATCTGACAGTCTCTACACTCGTACCCTTGTTTGCCCAATCTTCTCGCGAGGGTTCGTTTGCACACTTCGCACACGGTCCCTCTGAAACGGAAGCCATCGTTAAGATCCCCCTTTCCTTTCACGGCGTACATTAACGATACAAATTTACCCAGGCATGTGTTTCGCTATAAACGTGTGGTCGTTGAATATGTGAAGCTTCGTCCCCTTCTTTCGCCATTTACTTTTCTGTGCGAGCGACAGCGGTACTAAGTAATGCCTGAAAAATCGACGCACGTGTGTTATATAAAGGATTCGTTATCCTCCGTGGAAAGATCTAAATCTCAGTCTGTTTACTTTTTGATACCGTTCTCTAGGGTTTCGAGAACCAAGGTGGAAGCCTCGTTAATGTAAGTTCTGGTCGACGCTCCGCTTATTCCGGACGCCTCGCTCAAGCTCGATCGCCTCGAATGTTCTTCCTTCCCTGGTATCGATAAACGAGCTATAAAATTTAAGCGAAACGATCGTATGCACTTCCTAGTTGTTAGACACGTTTGAAAAGCGTTAGCATTATCGGCGCAACGTTTACATTTACTCTGGCGGCTTTGACATTTATTGAACCCAAATCACAATGGACGGTGTATCGTTACGCAATTACGGAACGGTTCCTATTGCTGTTGCATCATGGCTATTAAGGTAATCGTACTCACCAATATAGCGTGCCATCGTGTAGAGATTCATAAGCGGAACAAACAAATTGAATTTTAAGAGCTAACGGCTTTAACTACAAACAGGAAGGAACTCTACTCTAAAAACACTTGGTACATCCTTTTTAGTTCAACCGAAGGTGTGCTATTTAAGAAACGTACCGGAACCAGGATCGCGGGCTCTGTCCGCGGATATAGATCTCGAATGAGCGTCCTCGTGATTCGCATCGCCTTCCGGTCCGACCGATCTGCTTCTCGTCTTCGATCGACTCAGTCGTTTCTTTATCGTGCCGAAAAAGTCACGTCGTTTCCTTCGCGTTCTGCCTCTCTCTGCGTAACGAAGATAATTAGAGAAACGTAATATAATCTTGATGTATAATTAATTACCTTCGGAATTGGAGGAGTTTGGCGTACTCTCTGGTCCCGAGGTCACGCTGGTATCTTTCGGCCCGTGCTGAAATAAATAAAGTGATACGTTTATACAGGATTAAAATCGTAGGCGTAAGCTTTCTCCTCGGAACGAGTGTAAACACAATTAGCGACGTTAGCGAGCGAAATTGGAACAAACTTAAGATTGAAATAGTCTGGTACGAAGTCGTATAATTACCTCCGGTGATATTTCTTGCCAGTTGCCGCTTTCCGTCAGGGCCACCTGTGGAATTAGTAAACACACGCCACTCAGCTGACGATAATTAGTGTTTTCGTGAAACAGAAGCCTGATTCATTTCCATAAGACGGTATGATCGGATGTGACAAAGAAGAATTAAGTACACGGAGAACGATCCACGATAGGAATAAAACAAAAATACAAACTGGATAGATTTTAATTGTAAGGACAAGGTTTGTGAGCAATAATGCAACCACAAACATAGCACAATCGCATTGTGGTGGAAGGTGAGGTACGTCAAGCGATCGCTTACCTTAACCACCTGTCGTTCCGGTTGCTGGAAAAGAAAAGGCACAACAACAAAAGTAGACAATAATCAGTCGGTGTTAGTAAGAAAGAAAAATCGAACGTGCAGAATGATCGAGCGTACCCTTTGCTGGCTGTGTACGATCAGAGTCCCCTTGTTCCCGTTCGATTGACCAGTTCTGTACGGAGATTCGACCGCGTTGCCGTTCGTTAAATAATCTGTAAAATAATCGAAACTATTATCACATTTAGTCGAATAAACGATAGGAAAAATTCGACCTACCGTCGAAGGATTTACGAGATTATTATCTACTTCCGTCGTTCTACCAAAAGCATCATCGACGCCCGTAATCGTGTCATTTCGCTTACCAGATGGTTTATCGCGTTTGGCAACGTTTCCTTTCTTATGTAATCATCGTATTCGCTGTCATCGCTATTCGCCAGGTTCGCTACCCTGGTAGTCGAAATAACTTGCTGGGATTGACAATCGGGGAAAGTATTCTAACCGGAAGTAGGCGAGCGTGAAATCGTATCGCATCGTGCTAGAGGATCGTTAAAGTGTACGTTAAAATAACTGAGCAAAGAGAAGGAAGGGCAAATGCAAACAATCTCAGATACTATCTATAGTATTATAACGTGTGTGCTTGGTGTATAAACACGTAAATATACTTCATGCTTACAACTACATATCCGGAATACCGATCCCACGTGCACGAAATGCAGACTCGTACGAAACAGGAGGAATACCACTAACAGATTAAAGTAAAACATGGCTAAAACCGTAGATTTACGTCTCGTTCGGTATCTAAAACGATCACGTTTCGTTTCAAGGTGACTAGCTACTAACGGGGTATCACTATGTTTCTCACACTCGTGAACTCGAACGCAATGCCTTTCAGATAAATAACTGGTAATTACCCCCTTCGGATTGAACGGTAGAGTCGTACAAGATAAGAGTGCTGTTACCATTGTTGTAATTGTAAGCGAGATTTGTCGGTGTATAGGTACGAGGAGTCGGCGACGGCAGCTTTATCGTCTCCTTCACCTTGTAAGGTTTGCTCCCGACCTGAGGCACCTCTGCACCCTCGATGAACAGAAACTGAGAAAAGACAGAGAGACCAAGAGAGAGGGAAGAAAGAAAAAGAAATGAGATACGTGTAATAGCAGACACCATAAAGTAACACCTATCGTCGATCTCTCTTACCTCGACCGTTAAGGTACCAGTAATATCTTCCTCTTCGTACGGTCGATTCTGCAGCGGGATTATCTGTCTCTGACTCGGATTCGCGAGCAGCTCATCGATCCCGACGATTCCTAGACCGAGGAATCGTTGGGATTTATTCACACGATCGTAGACTTCTAATAAAACCTCGGATGTGTTGCGATTTACATCACTATGGATAAAAACGACAGCTCAGTAACGTTCGATGGAAGATCAATATATTAAAGATAAATATACTGACAATAAAAACGCTTCGTCCCACTGTGGATTTCTGGTATCTTTCTTAACGGATGTCTGATTCTTTTGAGAAGGTTCATCCAATTCGACCACGCAATACGGTTCCACGGATCCTTGTTCTCCACCGAGTTCTGCAGCTCTTACCACTTTCACGAGTAATCGTTTGTCGCCTACGTGTTGATGCTGCGCAGTCGTTTGATTCTGACTTTGAACACGTTGCCGCAGAGAACCACCCGACGTATTCTAGAGAATGATCGAAATCTTAGTGGAAAAGGATCGGGTTTAGTTAATTGGTAGGAATAGAAGGGTACCATGCCGTCGTAGTGTGTCGGATTGGAGTAGGCGGTCTGCTGCAGTTCCCTCCATAACCGCGGACAGCTTGGATATTGGAATAAATTCAGATGAACATTGGTCCCCCTTAACGCCCCAATCACGATTTCGGTCACGACTTCCTGTAACTGGCTCTCGTCGAAATCCTTCTTTATCGTTCCCACCTGAGCGAGCGACACTTTCACCTAACAGAAAGGAACCTTAGACGGATGCAAGATTACCAGGTCGAAGAGAAAGGATAAAGGGTATCGAACCTCCGGCCAGCCGTCGCATTTCAAGTCGAGCTGAAGTTTCTCGGTGATGCAAATGACGTTTAATCGTGCTCGAAAGCGATTCACGTTTACACGGTAGTGGCTGACTTCTAGTTTCTCCGCCTTCCTACGGAACGCTTTCAATTGTAACGCTGGAGTAGCCTCGCAATCGCACGTGATCGTCTGAAATAAAAACACGGTTGTATTCGATCCGCGTGTACGCCTCGGATGGTATAACTCACCACGTCGTCCTTGGAATCGCATTCGCAGAAGATGTTGGAGAGATTCGGTGGATGGGTCTCCGGAAGAACGCGAACGAACTCCACCACGACTCCGTTCTACGAGAGAGAAAGATGTAGGAGAGCGTTAAATGAATGGAAGACGCGATCTTTTCTCGAGAAGAGCCACGCGCCGCTGAAGAAGGTCGCGTTGCCTTATCCGACCGGATCGAATAATTGGGCGGAAGCAACGAAGAGGTGTTTCAACTCACCTCTTCGAAAGAATTGGCGGTAAAGTCGTTGAGGGAGCCGACCCAAACTGCGAGTAGCTCGTCGAGGATGGCCGGGTCGGAGTAAAGCCAAACGATCACTTCGTTTACCCAACGGACCGCGTCGGGGTCAGCGCCCGTGGCAGTCGGTAGATGCAAACTCCTCGAGCTTCTCGCCGGGCTGATCAAAGCGCCGGAAGTCTTCCTGGCTGTTAGACGTTTGCGAACTGGAGGAGTCGGCGGCACGTAAGAGCCGGATGGGGTTGTCGCGCTGGTACCGCTACCAGACGGATGATTAACGACACCGTGGGATCCGGAAACAGTGGCGCCAGAACCGCTACCACCTGCCCCGGGCACCGAGGTGCCCGATGCCGAGGAAAGGATTTTTTGTTTGCCAACCGGAACCGTCTTGCCGACGCTACCACCAACGCCAGCTCCACCACCACCGGTACCACCACCGCTAGCAACACCACCACCGACACCGACGCTATCGCCGTGAATGATATGGCCGTCCTTGGCGGTAACAGTCGTACCCGTGGATAGCTCGTTCAAAACGAAACGATTGTACACGTATTTCCCGACGCACAGCACCACCAACCCGAACAACATCCAACCGAATATCAGCATCGATAAGGTATCCATGGTCGTGTCACCAGCCGAGTCGAAACTGCATATCAGATCGTCCACCCGCTCGGCCAAGTCGGCCATATTGCCCCATCGTTCGGCCAACCAAGTCCAATTGGATTCCAAAAACATTCTTTTCTATTTTCACCCGCTAGCGAACAGCGCCCCACTACTACCGCGTTTCAACTTATTATTAGATCATACGTATACCCTGGGCCCCCAGGACTACGGCACTGCCTCCTCCTCGATTACGCTTTCGCGCAAGTACCGCGATCCTCTTAAACTCAGTCGACGCTTTACTCGCCGATGCAACCGGTCTAACGTTCTCCGGTAGATTCAACCCTCTCGTACCACCCGGTCAGTGTAATCGACGAATCGTTTTCTTCCTTCGAATTGGAATATCTAGGCCAGTTTTACCGTAAAGTCCGAGGCTGGTTTAAATTGAATCTCGACCGGCCAAAGGTACCGCTGCTACCACCGTGATCGTGATCGTGACCGCAATCGTGATCAATTCCACTCTGCCAAGCCACAGACACGTTCGATTTCATTGCCGCGTCTCGGAGCTGAAACAAGAACGATCGATCGGTCAATGAACGCGCAGAGACTAAAATACTTTTTCGTTCCGACTTGTTTTCGCGAACTGCTGCCGAAACCATCTAACTGTAGATACCAGCGGAGTTTCGTATCGGTAACGAGATAAAGATGCAATTTATCGGTTTGTTTTCTCTTTCGCGCGCTTCGACGCGCTACGCGTGGGCCGCGTGTTGAATGGTCGGCTATTCCCACACCGGTGTTTCGTCATCGTCGCGTCATCTCCTATTCGTGGCATCAGCTTTCATTGTCATTCTGTGACACTGCGAACGCGTGTTGGTCGATCGTCGATCAATAGTCCGCGGATCTCAGTTAACGCGCGAACCTTTTTGGCTTCGGTTGCCGACGAACCGTTGCTCCGATTCAACAGTGGTATCAATCAAATTTCACGTGTCAAATGATACATCGACGACCATCAACGTGTTCGTGCTCGAGAAAACGAAAACAGGGAACTGGATTAGAATTCTTCACCGTTTCCACGACTCCGTCATTGATCCGTCGACGCGGCAAGACGAGTGATCCCATTAGAATTCGCTCCTCGTTGATAAACTACGCGTATACTCTGCACGATTGAAAGACAGATCGAAGTCGAATTCCCTGTTTTCGTTTGGAACCGCACATGGACCACCGCCCCCGCATCCGTCACGATTCTATAGAAACAACTATCCGTTCGATACGTCTTTCGATTGATTAATCGTCTCCGACCTTTTCCTTTAGCCCATGTCGCTTGCTCTTCGAAAGCTTCACTGCATCGCGTGTGTCTCTCCCGTTTCGTTGCTGGTCTATCGTCGCAACGCGTGGTCGTCTACCGTATCTTTTAGCGCAAGCGCGTATATACGTCTTTGCCGCATATACCTCGACGAGTTTTCCTTCCCCGTTTCGCGTGTTTCCACCAGTTCACCGACGCCACACGAACGCTCCTGTCCGCGTTTTCCTCGACTTCCTTTCGTAGACGATGCGCGACGAGTTTCGAGGACGCGTGCCAAATTCCCGGTCCGGATTAAACCGAGTCGACGACTTTCTCGATACCGTCGACGCGTTATCGATCGGCGTCGAAACACACGTTGGTCGCACCCACGGATTCACGTAGCCGAGTAAAACGCTCCCGCTCCGATCGTTGAACGGAAACGGCACGATCGACCAAGCTTGATTTCGTGCTATCCTGCCGCTTTATGCGTCATTCATTCTTTCCCCTCCTCGTTCCCTTCTAACTTCTGCCCCTCTTTTCATCGTGTTCCCATATCCACGCTTTGACCTCCCTACGTTTCCTTTTCTTTTTTTCTTTTTTTATTCTTACGTCATATCTAGAAACAGCTCTTACTCGACCAAAGAGCAACGACTAAAGTGGAATCGACGTAATCGGCGATCGTTGACGGTATCGAGAAAACGGAGTAAATAAGAGAGCACAGCTGATAGTCGCGCACTTTTGTTATAGCCGATTCGAACGGCACGGATCAATGTTTCCCCGTCGGCTGATAGGTGATTACGGTTCGCAGAAATCGGGTCGCGATCTTATAAATAAACCCGAGGAAAGTATCGGACGAAAGTATCGGCACGGAGAGACTTTTTCCATCGTGAAAGGTAATTCTCGGTCGAAAGAAACACTTGGGCGTATACTTTTTATTATTGTTTCGTCATTCATTTACAATACAAATATTTTCAAGATACGTCTTAAGAAACAGTGTGTTCGGCATCGATTCAAAACCTCGTATGTATACTAACGTTCGCTAATTGTATTTCGTACAAATTCTCCTCGCGCGTCTGGCGATCGCCTTAAAATGCTAATAAAATACGCTATGCGGCCTCGTCGAGCTTCTCCTTCTTTAAGAACGAGTTTAGGATAACGTTCCGTCCTTGCCGTGGCCACCGATCGTTTCGATAGTTCACGAAACAGATGAGCCGAACGATCGTTACAAGGCGATTTCTTTTTTTTTTTTTTATTGCTTTCGAGCCGCGAATTCGCTTTACTATCGATACGACCGGATTACAGACACGGTTTCCATCGCGTCGATTTACATTCGAGCAACGACCGGAAACGGCGACGAGACTCGACGATCGGTTTGCGACGAACCAATGTACAGAAATCGTTGTATCGGAACTGGAAATGAAAATAATGACAGAAATCGGTGAATACTATTTTTATCGAACTTGAAAAACACGGGGTAGATTAACGAAGTAATGAACATTATGACCTCTCGTTGCCGCTGCGTCGCGCGTTAATATATAAAGTAGCATTCTCGTACGTAATTCTTTATATCATACGTGTATTTGCTTGTTGCTGATACATTAATTATGATACACACCGTTTATAATGGCCCTGGGGTACGGTATATCTCTCGACTCGAATTAGTCGGTGTCGCGATAAGCAACGTGTCAATCCGTTTTATCGCCATGCTCTCTTGCGTTCCTTAAATAATTTCAATCGTAACAAACACTCGTCATTTTCTTTTCTTTTTTTTTTTTTTTTTTTTCTTTTTTCTTTCATTTTTCTTCTTTTAATCTTAATGCTCGCGCGTTACTCTTGTCGTTATTAAAATTATCCATGTACGATGTATGTATATATAAATATACATATGTTAAATAGAATATAAATGCATCTAATACTAGTCTCGCTTTTCTCGATTAAGCTGTTCTCGTAACCCCGTGCGATTCGTTTCCTCCCTTTCTTAATCATCGAACATTGCGTACTTTGCCGCGCCCAAAACTTTCCCCTTCGAATCCCTCCACGGTTTTCTACACTCCTTTACACCAGCGTCGTAACACGTAAACGCGAAACACATTCACACCCGCGCACTCACACCTGTCGATTCTTTCGTACCTGATCTCCTGCTTGTTAATCAGTTTAAATGTAGGTTTCGCACCTTCGAACGAGAGAGCTTCGTCGAGTCGTTGTTTATCTCTGTTCAAAGATCACGCAATCGAACCGTAACATTGTGTTCAGCTTAAGAGCAACGGGGATAAAGTTGTTTTAAAAAAAAAAAAAGAAAAAAAATTGTAGAAAAGAAGTAAAAATGAAAATTGTACAATTCCATCGATGGAATAAAATTGACGTACAAAATTTCGCGTGTTTACACCGATCGCAAACAACACCGCCGGAATGATTGTGTAGCTATCGCTGCGAAAAGGGGACTATCACCTCTTTCCCCTCTCTTATTTACCGTCCGACCACGATATCATTTCAACGCTCGTTTTCGTTGAAAATTCGGAGTCTTTTCTCGGCTGTCGAATGCTAGGAAACTTGATAAAAGTAGTAAGAACCACAGTAAGACATGCGTACAAAGAACATGTTTATGCACAGATATGATCGATACTTTGGAAAAGCAAACGTATCGTATTTGAGAAACGTAAAGTTCAACGGGCATGCTTATTACCGAAAACGTTTCATTTCCGTTCTTCGATTTTCTTACACGACTAGAGAAATTGTTGCGTTAGAACGATAGTTAAAAATTTCACCGATAATACTTATAGTTTTATCTAGAACAAGCCTTCGAACATTTGGATTCTTAATAATTCTGTTAATTTACCGATCAGTCGTTTACAATTCTCCTTATAAATAAAATGAAAATGAAAGAAACTTACGCGACGAAACATTCATGCTTGCTCGCGTCATTCAATACTAGATACCCGGGTACTATAATATCACATCATACCGTATCGTATCGTATCGTGAATCGAGTGAAGTTGATATAGCGTTATCAAATATTGTTCGAAAATACATCGATGCTGTCAAGGAAATGGACACGATTATCATTTCTTCACGTTTGTTTCTCCTCGCTTCTTTCTACGAACACTCACGCACACACATTCTCTCTCTCTCTCATCCCCAATTATATTTTTGGTAAAAGCAATAAATGCCAATAAGCCGGTGCAGATCAGCGTATATACGGCTATATTATAGATACATAGAATATATATGAACTGCAACGTTAATTTACTCATTTTTCGTGAGAATCGTACGAGAGACGCGATAAAAAAATATAAGAACGGAGAGTAGTATACAGTATCGGTAGCAAACATGATCGCTCAGTCGCGCATCAAATTTTGAATTTCGAACGATCATTGGATGCGTGAATATAAAAATCAGTGGCAATCCTTTCGCGCTCGGATTAGTGTAAATGTATTCTCGTCGATCGTTCGTTCGTTAGTTAGAAATTCTGGCAGTCGATCGATCATTGTTTTCAATTCTAATCTATCTGTTGCGCGCAAGTACCAAAAACAGTTTTATTGGTGGAATGTATCGTAGCTGTGCGTATTAGTGAGAAATCTGTACACGGAAGAGGTGGTATGTACGAATGAAGTAAAAGTTAGAACCGATAGTACGCGGTGCATTTTAAATACAGAATCGGAGAAACGTCGCGTCAGTCGATCGCAATTGAATTAATCACGCGTTCTTTTAGCCCCCCAGATTTAAATGCATTTAGACTAGACGAGTCTCTTTAATCGAATCCGGTCGATATTTACATAGAAACTGTTTTCCATTGTGCGTGGGATCAGCGTTACGTTACGTTACATTAAGTTATCCGTAATTTAACTCTAAAACACGGCAATCGTCATTGATAATAAAAGAACAGATTGTACAGTACCACCGAAGATTAATACGCATGCGAACGTAAATGACTGGAGATGTGTACGTGTGTGTGTGTGTGTGTGTGTTGTGCATCGAACTGTCTGAATTAAAAATGAATTTTATCCAAAGTCTCAACGTTGCTTACCTTCCGTTTGGCAAGCGACGATTGATACGGTTCGCTTAGAACATTAGATTAGATATAACGTACTTACACACAAACATGTCTGATATACATGGGGTATAACTGCATTCCATTCTCGCGAATACGAAGTAAAAAAAATTGCGTACGGCATTGTCGATGGATCGTATCGGCTGACCTACACGGTAGTAGAATCCTTCTCTCTTCTCGATTATACGCGAAACTGGTCCTCGTCTGTCGCATCTTTATCTTCTACTCAGTTCTGCTCTGACCGCTAAAAACACCGTACGAGAATGTAAGGAAACCGGCCGTAAGTTTCTCCTCCGATTAGACTTGTAACGCTTACCGTCCACAATGTCTTGTTTCATTTTTTGAAATTCTTTGCGTACTTCCTTGATGATCTCCGCCTTAAACGCCTCCATTTCTTGAGCAGTGAGGACAGCTCCGTCGTTAACGCCGTTTACTTTCAATAGAGTATCCTCCGATGCGGAACCAAACCTTTTGCGAACCGATTTAGGTGATTCGGCACCATTGGAGAATTTATTATTCGAATTGTTCTTGTCCCATGATTTCTTATCGGGCGAACTCTCGGGTTCCTGTTGGAATTCACCAAAAGAAAATGGAAAATATTCGAATGAAATAAGGTACGAGAGGAAGAAGCATACCTGCGGTTGTTCCGGTTGCTTCTTCTCGACGGCAGCTCGTCTACGAGCCAAAGTTTTAGCCATCTCGTCCATCATTGAAGCCATACCACCACCTCCGCCTCTTCCCAACGTGCCGTAGTTCCCACCGCTTCCTACGCTTCCGCTGCTACTGGTACTCGAACCGCTGTTCTCCACCGGCTGCTGCGATGACTGTGAAACAGGAGGAACACGGTTAAACGAGAAGGAACGGAATAAAGAAAAAGAACACGAACCTGTTTCTTTTTTAAACGAGCCTGTAGAGCTGCGGCCAACGAATTAGAGTCTGGAGGCGGGTCGCTGTTGCTGGCAGAGCTCACAGGATTGCTAGCAGGAACTCCGGGAGGAGCAGTGCCGGAAATCGGATTGAGATTGACGGTGTTCATTTTTGGCGCGGGTGGTGGAGGAGGTGGAGGTGGAGCAGCAGGACCGGCTAGTGGTAGCATAGGAGGTGGTTGTGGGCCAGCACTGCCGACAGCGGCATAAATACTAGGATTGACCGGTGGCACGAGATGACCACCGGCATTGCCGCTGTTACCACCAGCACCGCCAGCTCCGCAATTACCACTGCTACCACCGCCACCGCTGCTGTTGTACTGATTCACCGAATTCGACGGCGTTCCATACGGATTCGTCGCGGTCGAAACTTGCTGCAACTGACCAGTGCCGTACTGTGCCTGTGCCTGAGACACGACGCTGTACTGAGCTTGATTCGGTTGACCTACGCCGACGTTGACACCGACACCTACCGCGTACTGGCTGGTAGCCGTTGCTCCGCTGCTCGCGTACTGACCGAGGGAATTGGTGCTACCGTATTGGCTTCCACTGGCACTACCAGCACCACCACTTCCACCACCTCCGCCGTACTGATTCGCTTGTCCCGACTGTCCGCTCGAATAGGCGTTACTAACTTGCCCGTTGTTACCGTAAAAATTATTCTGATTGCCGGTGGAATATTGGCTCGGACTTTGCCCGATCACGGCTGCGGTCGCGTACTGGCTATTGTTCGACCCGACGCCGTACTGATTCGTTTGACTGCTACCGTAAATCGACTGCGCTTGTGTCTGATTCGGCAGATTAGTCTGCGACGACGGGGATTGCGCGTACTGGTTCATCATCATTGGAGGCGGTGGTACCGGTGCGTTAAAGTTCATCATGGCCGGTGGACACGGCGGGGCCGTGCTGGACATGGGTGGCTGAGGGGGTGGTACCGGAGGAACGCTACCGCTCGACATTTGCCCGGCACCGGTGCCCAGAGTACCGGCTACTTGGATCGATTGCATCACGGTTTGTTGCTGAGGTTGCGGAGCAGGCGGGGCCGACGAGGTTCTGTGATGACCCGACTGCGGTTGCTGCTGCAACGGCTGTTGCTGCGCTTGCTGCACCGGATGCTGTTGTTGCGGTGGCTGCTGCGAAGGCTGTGGCGGGGCTGTCGGTTGTTGTTGCTGCTGTTGTTGTACAGATTGCGGGGGCGGTTGTTGGGATTGTTGTTGAGGTTGCTGAGGTACTTGTTGCTGTTGCGATCCGAGGGGACAACTAGGGGAAATCGCGTTCGGACTGTTCGTTGCTGCAACGAAACGAATATTTCCATGAATCGTTCCCTTGGGTTCTATCGTATCGCTGCGATGACGCATAATACCTTGACTCTGTTGAGACATTCTGCGTTCCTGAATAATCGCCACATCCTCCCTGGTCATAGTTCTGTATAAATCGATCGATCGTTAACATACAATTCGAAAATCAAATAAGATGAACTAATTTAAACGAACCTGTATCCCATATCTTCGTCGTATTGAGCATTAGTCGGTTGTTGCTGCTGAAAAACTGGCTGCTGCTGCGTAGTCGATGCAGGGGCGAGGCTTCTCGATATGTTGCTTCCATTGCTCAACACCTGGACGAAACAGGATTACTAAATCAAGTGATATAAAACGTCTATGTCGCTACTGTTCAACGGTTTAGAAACGCAAAGATCGAGACTAATTAATGCAGTAGTTATGATCGCAAGATACGCTTTTCTCTTGGTGTTTCCATTTGTTTTGTTTCTTCGTACGGTTTAAACTCACATCGAGCGCTTGCAGCATCGCTCTGGCAAATGCGTCGGCGTCGTCCTTACTGGAGAAATTCAGACCGTATACTTGCTTGTTATCTCGCCATTGATGAAACGTGACTGTCGCTTGATTGTATTTCAGTCCCTTCAGGATCGCGCAGTTGATGACGATCTCGTGATCCTGCAACTTTCTTCCAACCACGCGGAAGGTATTGTTCACCTGATGATGGTACAATTGAACTTTCGAAAGTCCTGACGAACTGCCGCTCGGTACCCATTTTTTGTTAACGTCGTCGTAAACCATCACCGACGCGCGAGCGGACGATATGCTCACTTCGCTGAAACACAAAGAAAATCATCACTCGACAAATTCATTATATATATATTTTTTCTTAATCGCGTATAAAGAACCGCTACCACGATCGATATTCTTCCGGAAGGGATCGTTGCGGTCGCCGGAAGTGCATGAATCGGCCGGCCGTTTCTCCGCTCTTTGGTATCATTGAGAGAACAATAAGAAAAACTAAAATCGAAATACAGTTTATCGGTCAAAGGACTGGTGGATTTCACGTAAAAATGTTGTTACGCTCGTTGTCACTTTCACCGAGTCGCCAGCGAAACGGGAACAGAAGAGAACAGAACGAAACGGAATACGAAAAGATACTGCCACTTCCTCCTCTGCTAGCCGTGCGATCAGACAAGCCCGACCGATAACAGGTCGAGCCGTATCCGCGATACCATTCTCCAATCTTTTCCGTGTTCTTTATCTAGCGTGCGGTCCCTCCGTGAAGCGGCTACCTAAAATCCGATCCTTTCGTTTGACTTTCATCGAGAATCCAAACGGATGAAATTTAATCGGAACGATCCACGCGTGAACCGCCTCTCGAAATCCTGCCTAACCAACGACGACGCTTACAGGCTATTGTTACGCATTATTTGCGGCTAGTTGTACCCAGCAGACGCGTTACAATGGTGGAGGGGACGAAGGAAACGATTCCCGAAAGTGTAGTGTAGGTAAACGTTCGTTGAATCTGAATTAGTCGAACGATTAAAATACAATGTTATCCACGACGGATATACGTTTGTATATCGGGTCTTGAAACAATTTCTGATCGTCACGAGGCGCGACGTGAATCATAATGTGACTCACGAATCCCCGTAAAAACGGTATTGACCGATTTCATTGATAACTTTTACGGTAACAGCTTTTTCCACGAACAACCCGCGAGCCGTGTAACGTATTCTACTATAAACGAATCGGCGCGTAACGAACACGGTACTCTCTAATCTAACGCTCTATTGACATACTAGTTTTCCTGGAGATTTTTGGAGATATGTAACACGCGCTCGGGAAAGGAATGGTCGAGAAACGAGGATTCTTGTTCGCGGGATACGCTGCGAAAATACGCGCGTGCGTGCGAAACGACGTCTTGTCTAATATAAACAAATGCTTGCTGAAATTTCCATGTTGCGTTGTTTTTCTTCTTTTCCCTAACGTTGGAATCGAAGGAGCCGTGGATGGAAGCGTTGCATGGTCGCAGAACGGACATGGTACGTGCGAAGGTGAACAGAGTTTGCGTTTACAATACACAAAGGCGTTGAAACGTGAGCCTTTCATATACGCAGATGATTTGGAGATGATTTCCGGTAAACGAAATGTAATTGATCAGTCAGTGAAAAAATACTCGGATGGTAAGGATGGAATTGGGAAAAGGATGGGTACTGTCACTTTTCTGTATATTTATGAAAAAATATATCGGTAAAGCTTGTCCCTGTTATTTGTATTTTTCGGTAGATTCGAACGCCGAACGTTCGTCACAGTGCACCGAGGAACAGTGAAAAGATCGGACGCGTTTAGTAATAGAAAATTCAGAACTCAGATCGAATGTATCCGTCGGTTGACGGTGGTATAAACAATGGTCGAGGGTAAAAAGAAGTGTTGCACGAGCCCATAAACCGGACTGGACTCGGTTCGACTCGGCACGGCTAGACCATCTCTCTCTTTCGATGCTGTGTCGTATACGTGGAACTTACTTCATGTTTGTTTGACTCGGAAGCGTATGCTATGCCTTCATGCAAGCCGTATTCCTGCTTCTGCACAGTATATCACCGATTCCATGAAAACACGCGAGATTCGGGCAGGATTTGCGGTAGTTCGACATAAATAACGTACAGCACTAACACCACCCTGACACCCTACCTATGCACATCTGGCCAGCCATATTGCCGACTCCAGACCCATACTCCTACCACCCTTCGTCTCGATGCACATGTCTACCTAGAGGGAATACTCGAATCGCGAGCGTTAGTACACTCTGCCATTTTTCTGCCACCCTTTTCACCTTTCTTTCATTTCCGTAAAAGAAAAAAGGTCGAAATTAATCATCGAGAATTATTAAAATTTTCAATATCCATTGCGGATGATATTCCGATCGACCGATTGAAACTGAAACTATCGAATCTCGATAACGGTATGACGCAATTTCAAGTTCGATCATCGATTATCGATCTAAGTTTGATTAGACAATATCTTTGACATTGATCATCGATTTATCGAGAGTTCATCGACAAATTTAAATCTCGTGGCAAAATGTATTTTTCAAATGATCGAACGTGAGATTTTAATTAAAAGTAGAAGGGGTTGGAATTGAAGGAATTCGATTATGCTGATTATTTATGGAGAAAATAATAGCGCACACTTTAAAATATAACGAAATGGTAAATGTGCGTACTAATTTATGTTTCTTTTACTGTGATATTTTTTTAATTGCTTATAGGGTATTTTTTATTTTAGAATCAGACTCTGGTTCTTTCGGAAGATGTAAGAAATCGTATTTACGCAATGAAATACGAAAGGTAAAATTTTGTATGAACCGCTGGACCAGTTTAATGGTTACGTTTGACATCAGATGGCGCGGCAATTTGAGTTCTACACGAATACACAGGAGTTTCCACGGGCCCTGTCGCCGACGCACCTGGCGCATCGACCGAGAAACAGAAACAGCTGTCTGTTCGAGGCAACTTCGAGAATATCGTTGGTTGATCGTCGATCCAGAATCGTGTGGATCCTCGTTGCATTATTCGTGGAATGCGGAGTAACGAGATCTCAGGGTATCGTGTCTGTCATCAAACGCGTACTAGCCAGCTCCTTACATCGCCACTCTTTACCGCTTTAGGCGGTCGCTTCGACGATAACGTGCTTGCCTTTTATTTTTCCGATTTCTACGATCCGGAACGTATCTCCCCCTTTCCTCTCTCACTCCTTCTCGCTCTTTCCCTGACCCCACTTGATAGTTCTCTCGCTCTTTCCCTCTCTTTTTCTATCTATCTCTCTCTCTCTCTTTTTCTTTCACGGATACAGTGCCTCTCTGTCTCACACTTTCTCTCTCTTCCGTGCGAAGTTCCTCTGGAGATTTCTGTGTGCTTCGTCGACGATGTAAACAGAGTGATATTTTTTTGGAGAAAAAATTCTATTTCCTGCCTTTATTTGCCGTCTCGATCGTTTCTCTATCACTGTTATTGTTACCGCTGCTTTAGTGCGTACACGAATGTGACGCACCTATAGTTGGAGTAACCGCGCATCAACAAGCAGCATTTTCTTCGATGACATTGTCTTTTATCGGTAACGATTTCTAAGATAATTGTTGCATGTATCTAGGCACGGGTTCCCGTAAGTTTTTTTAGTAATCTTGATTTCTTGCCCGATCCTCTTCCTCTGTACGAGGTTATAGAGATAAGCATTCTCCCGCGCTACAAGATACACCTTTCAAAGATACGAGACGATGTGTTAGAAGCAAAGTTAAGTGACCTTAAAATGTAAACATTCAGATTATAACCAAGGATCACAATTTCTGACTGTGGTATTGCATAAAAAGGAATTGAATGCCTCAAACTTCAGAAGAGTTTTTTATGGCATTAGTGTGTCATGAGTTTAACGACAGTCTTGCACAGCTTCCATTTTTATTTTATTCCTTACACTTACATCCTCCTTTCCTTTCTTCCAATGCTTTGCTACAATGTAATGTTTAAGGATATCGTGCTTTTATTTATGCTAGTTTGGTCATTTATATCAACAAATAAGGATTTATCCTTATACTTTGCGACTACTTCATATTTTCCATGCGATGAAGCTTTTTATGTTTATTTTTACAGTTACACCATCATGAGTACGGCATAACTGTATGCAATTGTTGTACAATGAAGAGATCATTGGTAGAAATTACCAAGTAAACATGGGAATACCGCTAATAAGTCCAGTAGGAAAATATTGAGCGCATCGATAGAGATGCGCTTTGTACCATTACAAAGAAACTGAATGAATAAGCAAAATTATAAGGAATGGTATTCTATTGGATTCTACTGGATGTTAGATAAGCTGAAAAATGTCTGGTGATTCAGGATGGAGCGCTGTTATTCACCATCCTTCGGAATTAGAATTGCAAAATTGGAACTGGGAGGAAAACGATGGAGAGCAGGAAAGGGAGCTCCCATCGACTGTTGATATGGATGCCATAAAAGGCGGAGGTAGCTGGGACCCAACCACTGAACCTAATGGTAGCGGTGCATTGTTTCGTTTAACAGCTTATGAAAGCCGGTTCTATATAAATGAATGCTATCATGAAAACTTTGTTTGCGTTAGGAACAGATTCGGTTGATTCAGAAGAGGATTCCGATTCCGACGACGAAAGCTCAGGCGGTTCAGAAGGTAGCTGTTCTTATTCGGATTCAAATTCGGACTCGGACGACGAGAGTAGCGGCGAGGAAGAGGAGGATACAGGATCCAATTCGGATTGTACGTCGGAGCACAGCGAACAAACGTTTTCCATTCAGGAAACAAATTTTGAATCGGTATGCACGTGTCACGACGACACGGTATCGTATCTCTGTTGAATCAGTTACAGATTTTATGTAAGTATCCGTTAAAGAATTAATTAAACCCTGTAATCGCACCCTAGGGAGCGCTTAAATTAAAGATTACTATGAAAGGACCGAAAAAGGAGGATTTGGAAAAAACGAAATGCGAAAAAAATAGGAGGAACGTATCGAAAAAAGTTAAGGCCAATCGCGGGGCTAAGGTAATTTGCATATACTTATTATTGATGCGAATTATTGAATCGTGGTAGGTGGAGTAACGCTACGTTTGGCTGTCGATTCGATCGGATTCTCTGTTTCGGTAGAAGTACTATTTTCTCTCTATCATGTTTAGTCGTCCGAATGCAGTAGCGAGGATTCGGATTCGTCGGAGAACCGGTTACCTTTGCAACACCCTCAACAACAGCAACAGACTCAGCAATCTCAGCAGCAGCAACAGCAACAACAGCAGCAGCAACATCTACCGCTTCAGGAGATCAATCAGGAGGATTTAGCGGCTATTTTACCGGATCAAGAGCACGAAGACGCACCGTTCGACGGATTTGAGGATTCGGAAAGCGGTCGGCTAGTATCGAAAGCAATCGAACGTATGTCGCTTGGAGCCGATTCGGATACCAGCGAGAATGCCGATCAAAACCCTGTACCTGTGTATAGCTCCACTTTATTACAGCAATTTGTCGAGAAAACGGCTTTGCTATCGGAACCGAGAAAAAGGCGAAGTAAAATAGGGAAGAAGGTGAACGATTCGGAATATCCTTGCGTCTCAAACGTATCACCGGACTCG